GAGCTGTGTGCTCTGTTTTTCACAGCCTGTCTACAACCTGGTCAAGAACATTCGTTTCTGGGATTTTGTTGCTTTTTCAGTCTTTGGAACGGCATCTGAGCGTGGCAGATGTTTTTCTGAGACTGGTAGTCATGCGTGGATTCCGCGTTGCAGATTGGTCGCCAGGGGTAACTACAGAATTTTCGGAGACCAATAACGGATTGATGGACAGTTGCACTTTGCGTTTTCTCTTTTTGGCGGCTGCAATCGATCCACACAAAGGCGCAATGTATCATAATTTTGATGCGAAGCAACTACAGGATCTTGACTGTCGAACGCACTTGGAAAAGTTTTTATCTCAGCTAAAGTGTTGCTAAAAAACTGTATCAAGGCCAAAAAATCAAAATCTACGCCACTTTCAGCAGCGGTAGAGAGCGAACAGGGATTGTTACCTTCTTTCTAGCACAAGAGTGGAAAGCCAAATCCATCACGCTCCGTCGGATACCAGCGCTGATCAAGTATCACTTTTTCCATCAAATCTGACAGCATACACAGCTCGCATTTCCATGGCAAATCAGAGCTTGGCACTCGGTTGCACCGAAGAAGCACGGATTTTTTCGTGAAAACAGAATAACAGCTGGCAACTTGCAAATCCACATACCTTGTCTGGTCTTGAAAGGTTCTTAAATGGTTTTCTTTCAATCACTGAACACAAGCTGCGACTTTCAGACTTAGCCGGAGGTTGGAACAACATTCTGAACGAGTGTGGGTGCTATGGAGCTGATTGCATCTTCAAGTGAATATTTATTTGTTTTTGCATTTTGAAACTGACCATTGGAATTTCATGAAGAGCTTCGAATGCACCTACGTTCCCTTCTGCACCTCCTTCGAAAATCTTTCAGCAAGCCTTGAAGACTACCTTCCACGGAAGTCCAGAGAAGCAGCTCAGGAGTCTTTCCAGTGAAGGTTGGTTGTTGGGTGAATGTTTGTCTGTCATGAGGTGGAATAGGTCTTGTCAGATGTCATCCCTCCGGATGCGCAGTTGTCGGCTCGGATCTGCCCGACACCAACACGCGGCCGCAGGTCAACTGACACCTCGCTGTTGCAGGATCATACGGACCTGGGCTACCACTCCAGGAAAGTCGACATGGAGGAACCAAGAGAGAACGAGAGTTCGCACCAACGTGCCTTGCTGTCGGTTCAGCGCGGGTTGTTTTCCAGTTGTTCTTGGAATGCACCCAAGAGATCTGGGGGCCTTGGAGCGAAGCATCACGCGTGGCTTGGCCTTTCTTCGGCGATTACTGAGAAACTGCACTGCGAGGACCCCGGCTGGTCGAACAAACTTGGCCGTTATGTGGCGGGAGCCAGTCAACTGCAGCGTTGGCATCCTTGGGCGCATGCTCAAGAGCCATTATGCCCAGACCCGGCCCATTTTCGTGTCTCATCGTGTGTCAGTTGTACTCACTCGTCACACCTCCACACAAACTTGTCAGGACTGAGTTTCCAGCTTGCAAAATGAGGGTAATTTGCATGCTCCACGGCAGAGTGCTATTGGTTTTCGCCAATCCACCACGCGCCCTAATCCGAGACACCTGGTGGTTTCATTGGACCAGGTCGCTGCTGAGTGGAGTGTGTTCGCACAGCGTTCAATTGACATTGATGTCGCTGTTGCTGACGTGCATTTTTTCATGTTCCACCCACAACGATGATTTTATGTGCCAGTCTTGTGTTCCGCTGACCGCGAAGATTGAAGGATGAAGTCACCTTGACTCAGAAGGCTTCAACAAGAAAACATCTGTTGAAGTCGCAGTGGCCCATACAAAGATTTTAATTGTTTACATGTTGCAACGACATGTTTTTGACCGCACAAGCAGGTCTTTGAGCACAACGTTTCGACACACAAGGTTGCAGCACACATTTACAGCTTTGTTGCAAAGCTCAAGGTGTCAAGTCAATCATCCAACACCACGTTCGGTGGCAATGTGATATTCGCATCATAAGTAAGTGTTGCCACGCATGTCAAACCGCAACATGATGGATGCACAGTATTGCTTCAGGGTCTTCACGCGAAGTTGGGAGACGGACACGCTGAGGCTTCAGCCTCGCTAGCAAGGGTAGTAATGACAACAAGCCCCGAATTTTCTACCCTGGCAAACACCGTGCAGTAAATCTTTGGCTGGTGTGATTGTGCCATGAGAAGGGTGACGACGCATGTGCCATGGCGAGTGGGCCTTGGCTGTGGAGTTTTGTGTGTGTTTTCCGGACGGAGGGGCCAATAAGCAAACATTCACAAAGGCTTTGTTTGCCTGGTGATGAAGTGCCGCTGCAACCTGGTTCTCTCCCAGGTCAGGATGGCCAGGTTTGAACTTGTCGGTTTTTATTTTGCATCTCATTTTCGCACTTTTGAGGCCCTGGGGTAGCTCTCGATACCGACAGTGGACGAGCATTTGCCACGACAGCAGGAGTGTTGAGGCATGGCAGAGTATGCAATGTTTCCGGTTCATTGATTCCTGGTACAATTATTTGAGAAGGACGCTGGGCGACGAAGTGCGGGTGGAAAATCTTAGGAAGAGATACATTCCCCGCAAGGTGGGCTAATGAATCTGCGCCGGTGGAACAGCAGCTCCTAGTCCTAATGCGCAAGCTCACGCCAGGGAGATTACATTGTTGGGATCATTATGTCGCGCAGTGCAGACTTTTACAAGGCCTGAATGCAAGGAATGATGCAGCTTCCGTCATTGTTATGTTGTGCTTATTGACATTCGTGGAGGTCGAAATACGGGCTCCTTCGCCGGCTTTTCTTCCCACACTTGCGTGGGCCATGTGTCGTGCATGATTCTGCTGGTTGTTCGGTTGCTTTGTTCGGTTGTAAGTTGCATGGCTAGCTATTTTGTCTGTGGAGGTGGAACGGAGCCACGAAAAGAAATCGGCCTTTGCTGGAGAAGCTTGGCTGAACTTAGGGCCGCTGTTGCTCATGCGAAGTATGCCTGCCGGCTCCAGGATCGGCATGCTGGTGTACGCAAGGGTCGAGGCTGGATTGCAAGGCTATCCGATAGCCAGTCTGAAATCGCGGCTGCTGACAGGCAGCGCATCCGGACCTGGATACCGAATTGTCGTGCGTGGACCCAGACACAAAAAAGCCAGGAAGCCCGGTCTTCGTTAACCTTTGCTTTGTGCTCCACTCCACACATTCGGTCGGATTCGCTTGTTTCCTTGAGCAAGCAGGTCATGGAACACTGGTGAGGCTCAACAGTGCTCATGTTGCGGTCGGCCATTCCTTCGTGTCTGGTGCAATGGAAGGTGTTGCTGGGAGAGTTGAAGGGTGGCCTGAGCTTTGAGGCAGGCTTTCACCCTGTCGATTTGCAGTCCAGTTACTGCCGTGAAGCCACACCTCAATGGTTCTGCGTGCTGCCTCAGGTGACCCTCACTGCAGCACAGCGGCTTCTAGGTCAGGGGTTTCAGAGACAAATTTCGTTGGTTGGTGCGATGAAACCGTTTCGCTATGTTCCACCTGAAACATCTTGCCCAACTGATCAATTGCACTGCCCGTCGGGTCGATTGATCAGTTTAAATTCCTTGCAGCCATCGACTGCTTCATCCTGGATCGGCTGGGCAAGGACTGCACACGACACCAGATGACGCCAGCCACGCTAAGTTACCATGCCTGACCAGTAGAAGTTTTCCTTTGAGCATCGACCTGTTCTTGCGAGGACTTTTCCTACGAGCTCTGCGTGGGCCAAAACGGGAGAGTTTGGTTGGTGGCGGCGACTGCCAGAGAAACAGTGCTTTTGCTGCAGGCCATGCAAGTAGTTGGACCACTGGTCCCAGAACTTCTCTTGCCGCCTCCGCATTCAGGCGATCAAACGGAGCTTTGGCATGACCAACGTACAAATCGAGGCCAGTGGGAAACACCGTCAGACCTGGCAGTTCATTGTTGCAAATGTCGCGAAAGCAAGCACAGAGAGTGTTTCGTTTGTCTCGTTGACATATCAAGCATCCACTCGCTCGGCCGTGTGCGTCCCTCACTCTCTCACTTCATCAGTTGCTCCACTCCGCCACAACCGGCAGGCAACGGTGTCTCTGTGTGCACATGTGCATCCAAACATGCAATTTGCTTGATTCCGTCCTCATCCACTCGAGCTATCACCTGAGGCACATTCATGCAGTCACGTCAGCATGAATGTGGTCGTCGTCGTCGGCGTCGTCGCCATCATCAGCATCCTCATTATCCCGTTTCCCTTTGTCTCAGTGCTCTCCTCCTCCTCCTCCTGCATGATGGTGTTCATCCTCTGCATCGTCATTATCATCAACAACATTATCGTCATCGTCATGATCGCCATGACCGTGACCATCGTCGTCGGCATTTTCATAATCATGAAAATTGTCATCGTCGTCGTCATCATCATCACCATCATCCTCATCATCATTTACATCGGCTTTGGCATTGCTGGTGATGCGGCTGGCTTTCGTTCATTTTAGCTGGTCGAGAAATTCGTTGTTGTGCAGGCAGGGTGTCGAAAACAGTTGAAACCATGCGGTCTTGGTTACATTTATACTTGGTCCAGGCCATGGTCGGCAAGATGGTCGAAGTCTTCTCATAGTTGGCGCGATTCAACAGTGTCGTGCACATCGTGAGAGACGGCGGTCCTGGAAGGGACAGCATAGAAGAAGTTGAAACTATGCTTTGGCAATCCGTGAACTCTTTTGCTGAAGTGACTCCGGGATCCGAAGCAGACTGATTGCCGGAGACTGGTCTAACATGCAGCAGTGAGCCAGGTGCACAAAGTGCGAGTTGCCACAAGTTGTCGCAGAGACCAGCGATGCAACTCCATGCACGGACATGCTCTGAAGCGTCTCATGAGTTCAAGGAGCAAATCTCGAGGAAAGAGCCATCTACGCTGATGTCCCATGCGAACCTTAGGTGTATTTGCTCTCACGACTCCAGAATTGTGGTGCAGCGGTAATCGGCACAGTTTCACCGTCTTGGCAGACGTTTTCTTTTTATGGGTGGCGGGGCAGCCGATGGAATGATGCCATGCCGAAGAAGAAGAAGAGCACCGGGACCTCAGCTGCAGAAGGCTACGCAGAAGACCCAGGTGGCCTTGCCTTCGCAATTGCTTCAGATGACGTCTAGAGGCTTTCACATCTACGTGCGACAGCTGCTAGGTGATGCAAGACTCTCGGCTGTGGTATCCGCAGATGCATGGACCAAGGCAGTCGGGCAGGGCGAAATGACCTACAGACTTTTGTGGGCAGCAGAGTTTTGTGTAGCCCCTGCAGACAGTTTACTCTGAGCACCTGCTGTCTTGCGGTCTGCGTTGCAGGTCCAACCATGGTTCCAGCGAAAGGGTGGTGTCGCAGACACTTCTAAAATAGCGTTACGAGAGGACGGCCGTCATTGCATGAAGCAATGTTGTCTTTTCAACGTGCTGCAGATAGTTTGGAGAGAGCGTGCATGCAGGCAGATGGGGACCGAAATGTTGTGGCAGTTGCCGGTTTGAGCAAAGGCCGGCACTGGTGCGCGATAGCCTGAATCCAACCGTGTGCCTGTCAAGGCGAAGCGATCTTTCGTGTTCCTGCGCTCGAGCCTTGGAGATGTGGAGCATTTCAGGGTGCAGGACAAGGACTCCTTGCCTTTCGAGGCAGATATGGTTCACTGCTGAAGGCTTGTCCTCACACGAGGCAAGGCATCGTGTCCAGCCCTCCCTCGCGATTCTTGAGAATTGTGTGCCTTTGCGCAGGCAGGGAGAGCGGCTCTGAAGTGGGCTGAACGTGCATCAGAGGAGGTGTCGCTTCTTGTGACTCTTGTGCTTCAGCTTTGCGCGAAGCCACCAGGTCGGCCTGTCTGCAGAGCACGCCGCCGCCCTTGCAATGCTGCGTTTGTGTGCACGGTACTTGTCGATGCCCGAACTCTCGGATCTTCCAGAGATAGTCGAAGGCCTGGTTGCACACAGGTTGCCGCCTGAAGTTGCTTCTTTCTATGAAGCTCAGGTGGAGCTTTGCTTGCTTGCCGTGCTAATCCTGCTGGAGGGAGCAAAGCAAGCCGGACAAGTTTGGATGGCTTCGGAATTGGTTCACCACGAAGAAAGGATGCATGGCCTGCCAGGACTGCTTTTTGGTCCGACTACGTTGCTGTGCCAGCCTTGGAAAGTTTCAAAAGACAGCGAGTAGCCGCGTAGCCAGTTGGATCTCTCCGTCGAGGCCTTGCCTTGGTCCACGACCTCCTTACCGCTCAGCTGGACGCTTCTCGGCTCGTTGCTTTGCACTTTGCACACTTTGGTTTCTGTTTGCGGCTTCTGAGCGAGGCCGGAGCGACTCTCGACGCTCAATGGTGCAGCGCCGCAGTGGCAGATCCAGGACCAGTCACGAGCTGCAGCTCAGAGGATCTTGGAGTCTCAGAGCCTTCCCTCATCTTCCCTCTGCAAGCTGCAGGAGAAGAAGAGCCAGCTAGCCAGGGCCGGGGATCGGGAGCCTTTGGAGATGCTCCATACGGGTGAGTATGTTCTGCAGGCCTACTCTTCTGTGGTCAATGCATTGCAGGCCGCCATGGTGGGCCAAATGTCACTAGCGTCACTAGCGTTGCATGGTGAAGTTGCGAATTGCACAGGCTTCTGCGAGGAACGCTTTTCAGTCTGCATGCCCGAGCAGCGACGCGTTCATCAAAGCTTTCTCGCTTCCAGCTCAGGGGAGGAAGGTCGCTGGAGCTGCAGACTGTTGCGAGAGCGAGCTAGAGGCTTGCACAGTCCCGTGCGATGGGCATACGATCTGTAGGCGAACAAGGTGCGGTGCAGCTGTCAATGCTGTGTTTCAGCCGCAAGCTTCACACAAATGAGCATCGTCAGGAAGATGCTGGAACCTTGCCATGCTTCCCTTCGTGGACATGTCCCCTGGCTGGGACAGGCTTTAGCATGTTCGTGAGTGCGTTGCAGATCTCGTCCCAGGCTAAACCACTCACGCCAGCCTGAAGTTGACTGGGATGTTGTCCGAACCAAGGAGCTTCAGCTTTGTAGCGGGCTTACGCGGGCTTCGCAGAGCAAGTTACAGCTGTAGAACTTAGCAGGATGCTGGCTTGTGCGTCGTTGGGCGGACCAAGTGCGATGTCAAGGCTGGCACAGCACTGTTCTCAGATGTTCGCAGTGTCCGCAACACCAGCGTGGTAAGGGTTTTAATCGCCAGCATCGCGGAGAATTCGAGCTTGAAGGGCCCAGGTAGCACCTCCATCCGACCAGAAGCTGCTGTACAGACCTGCCACATGGAGCAAAGGAACTTCGGATCCGCTACCAGTTCGCCTCCGCACAGGACCGTGAAGCACAGGATGTAGCAAGGCACTGCACACATCCATACTGACAGGCCTTCTTTGCCACGTATGGCTTTGTGGAAGACGTGGAGGAAGTTAGGCCGACGGAACTGAGGCCGCTGCTGACGCTAGAGAGATTGAGAGAGATTGCCTACTCGCAAGCCTTTGCAGTCTATGGAGGTTGGCCATCGACGGTGCAGGTGGGCTGGGCACACAGCGAGTGAGGATGACTCATGTGACAGACACCGTAATAGATGCGGGCATTGGCATTCGAGCTCTGTGCAACGTACGCTTTCATGTTTGCAGTTCAGCCTCATGCCTTTTTCAAGTCATCTGCCAGGGCCGCAAACATAAAGCATTCAAGGACGTTGTCAGTCAGTGTTGTGTACCAACGACGTGTGATCACGCAACGGCAGAAGCGACAGAGACAGCCGCTTCGAGCCAGCCACAGGTGTGCCAGCCGTGCTGAACGTAACATCCGCCCAGTCCCTGCGGAAGCTCCTTTCGCGCTGCAGGGTGCAGGCAGGGTCTCGTGCTTCCCTTGTGTGGGGCCCGGGTGTTGCGCATTGCACCAGAGGTGGCCACCGCCGAGGCCGCCTTGCCCAGAATTCACCTTGAAAGCCTTTGCAACACGCTTTGCAATGCGTCGCAGCTTGCAATGTGCAGGAGTTGAAGGGAGCTCGCGACTTGGAAGATGCAGCACGCTTTCCTCTGCCCAGATCTTGGCTGTAGACTCTGTAGACTCCTCACCTAGGATCCATGACCCGACTCTGTGAGATCCCACTTGAGGTCACAGAGATGTGCCAGCCTAAACTATGGCAGTCGAGAAGAGTGCTGTCCAAAACTGATACCGGAAGGTGAAATGGCTGCATTCCGCCGCTTGCAGGATCTTGTTCAGCAGCGTCGGTCCCCGAGAAATGACACCAGACAGCAGCTCGAGCTACATGCTGAGAGAGTCCAGGCGTCCAAGACCTTGAGATGCGGTCAGATGGAGTTTCTCGTCTTCAACTTCATGATTGCATATCGTAGGCCTACACTTCCCATGTTTGGGATATTTCGGGATCCTCGTTTCTGTCTGTTTCAGTCTGGAGCATTGGATTCGCTTTGGTGGATCTGGTGAAGGATGCTTCGTATCTGGTACTTCGCAGACTGCAAATTTCTGAACAACAACACGTGGCAGGGGGCTCGAACCAGTCCATCGGATCATGGGGGTGGGAGATAGCAAGAGATCAGGAGTAGATCCTTCCATCACCATCCCGCTGCATGTTGCAGAACAGCACCTATCGCTAGCTGTGCGACCAGGCACATGATTCTCAAGTACTTTTCGAGGAGCTCTGACGTGTCATGTGTCATGGTCCATCGATTCGACAGTTGCGTCCTGTGCAAGATCCACACCCAACTCTTCTGAGTGCCGCGTGCACAGTTGGAGACACAATAGGGGTTCACTGCTTGAAGCCCAGGGCTCATTGTATTGCAGGTTCGCTGAAGTATCTGCCTGATACTCGACTCGAACTGAGTTTCAAAGAACCCAATTCTGAGACTGAGCATTGTTTGGCATCCTCTATGTGGAGTCCCAGCAATGGCTTCAGACATGCCCGTACTCACACCGAGTTTTGTCACCCGGATGGCCCGCTGAGCTCAATCCACAAATTGCTTCTAGGATTCTGCACCAGAAGGTGCCATAACCCGACACATGTAAATGTGCAAGCTGTAAAGCCTGTATGGTCCAGTGTGCAAGCAGCCACGACCGACAGACCCAGCTAATGCAATCTGTCGGAAGCAGAGACTTCACGGTTTGTTCGGAAGTCTGAGGTTGATGTCACGGTGCGGAGACTCCGTGATGCAGATGGCAGAGGATGGAGAAGGCGACGAGAATTCACTCCTCTTCTGGCTGTCTTCTTGTCAAAGATTGTCAGCGCTTGACTTGCTTGTTTGCTTACCTGATGTCGCCGATGGCTTACGAAGAGGGCACAAGCCACTCGGGTGAGCCTTGACGGCTTACAAGCTCCAGCATGAAGGAGCCTTGTCACATCTCTAGCTTCTTCGGAGTTTGCTGATGTAGGGCATGACATATTGCAGTGCATGTGCTCGTCCTGTCTGGAGAACTTCATTCGTCTTAAGTCAGGGGATACGTGAACAGATAATGGCACTGAAGGCAGTGGGGACACTACGCCCGGGCCAGGCTCAGGTCAGAAAGTCACAGCAGCCGTTACCTTCAAAACGGGGAAGGATGTTTGTGCTCTGAACACGGTATCCCGGTATGCCAGATTTGAGGTCCGGCGTTGATCATGATAATCCCGGATTTTCGTCAACTGTGCGATCGCGTCGAAGGACGTGATCAGGTGCAACAGTTTGCCGCGGCTCTGCTCGAGCCTTCTAGGACGTTTGCCTGGTTAGCGCGACGGAAACTGATTGTGGCTCCAGCCACGTATGTCAACCAGGAAGCCCTCGCACATCCCTTCTATCTGGAAGTCCGGGCAGCTTCCGGCGCTCCGGCGGTCTCCAAGGATAGTCCACCGGCGGTCGTCGACGCCGTGGTCCGCTCCTCCGCCATTTGAGGCCGCGATCGCAGAAACGCCACTGAAAGTCCCTCCCACCAGTCGCCGGAAAAAATCGCGCGATCGCAAATCACACCACAGCTAACGAAGTGGTCGGCAGCAAGGTGCAGTGTGTTGCCCAGTCGCCGAACCCATCGACGACCGGGTGGAGGGGGGACAGCAACGCAACATTCAGAGGGCGATCGGCGTTCTCGATAATGGCTCGTGCAAAGACCGTGGTATCGACCCTAAAGATAGGATCAAGCAAGCGGGGATCCGGACAGTACGAAAACGACAGCCGTAAGTCTTTGATCGATCTCGAAGCGCTCAGTCGAAGGTGCGAGATCACCCTCAATAAAACCCCAGGCCGCCCTGAGCCCAAAACCTCAGAAAGTAGAGAGCACCACAGCCCGTGCCTTGCTCAGATGGCACAACCCGCGGAACGCGGAACTCACGAGGTCGACTGAGCCCGAATAATTTTTGAAACACAGAACTCACGCATCAGTGCGACTAGTGTAACAACTGGTACCGGCGCAGATCACCTGAACAGGGATAGCATTTAACCAAAAGCACCTTGCGAGCACAAAAGTGCAGGCCTCTTTGCCTGCCTGATTGATAGAGACAAGTGCTCAGCTGACAACTGCCGGTGTTCCGCACAAGCATCTTTACTTCCAAGTCGCTTACGACATGCCCCTGACCACGTTCGTCTTTGGGAAAGGTAACGGATCCACTTGGCTTGGAGCCTGTTGGGCTTCCGTTCGGGTCACTTGTTCTACGTAGACCCTCGCTCGGTGGATGAGAATTCTCTGCAGCAGGAAGATTTGTTTGCTCGTCTGCAGACTCGTTAGTGAATGTTCGTTTGCCTGCGTCTTGCGGGTGTTCGATCGTCGTTTTTTCCCGGATACGGATGCCTCAATGACGTGCATCCCTCAATGATACAATGTGCTCGACCACGTCCCACGTCGCGGTCGCAACAAACGAGTGCGATTGCGTGGCGGGGCAATGCGCGTTCGCTTGTTGTCACTCGATAGGGACTGGCGAATGTATGTATCTTGATATTGACCGTGTTAACATAATGGTGCCGAGGATTTCGCATGATTCTTCCATGAGGATTCTGATCAGTGTTGTGCTGTGTATGGCGGTTAGGCTCCAGGCACTCTGATTTTCAGTTTGGATTGGCACAGTCGGATGTTGAGCCTCGATTCGTGCAATTCATTCTGCTTGAGGTGGTTTGTGATACAGCAAGCTTTGGGGGAGGTGACAGCGAGCGATAGTTCGTTAAGAAAGCAGGCAGGTTCGTGTGTTTCCACGCGTTGCCTTCCCTCTCCCAGCACGTTCCAGCCTGCCATTCCATCGGCGCATGTTGTAGATTTCCGTCCAAGGAAGGTTTGCTGCAGAATTCGACGCCGTCTCTTGGCACGCTGGCATGGAACTTCTTTGCAAATTGGCGGCAGATGTGGTCAGGAACACCCAAACACATTGGACAAAATTGAAGCACTCACCTGGCCAGTTCATAGCTTCCGCTCCCAATGATTTCTGCTTTTCTGGCTTTCAAGGTCATGGGCACCACGGCCTTCGGAGGTCCGCCGGTCCACATTAGCATGTTCCGAGCCCGATTCGTGGAGAAGCCCTTCAGCTGAAAAAGCGCTTGGAGTTTGGAGGTTCAAAACTCCAAGCGGATCTCCTTCAAGGGTGGTTATTTTGTCAGTTCCAATCGGGATGTATTCAGTCTGGCACTGGCACAAACCTTTGATGCTGAGGTTTACCACGGATCACAGTTTTTCCTGAATTGACTGATTCAGGTACGGCTGGTTATCAAGTGAACGCTTCGCGGAATTGTTCGCGATGGCCAACTGCCTCCCAGGACCCTCAAGCACGCAGGCGACAGGGTGCTGTGATGCATGGAATGGGAAGTATGGGAAGGCTTGTAGGCGTAAAACTTAAAACCAAACAGTATGCTTCCATACCTATGATCCCATGCCTTGTCTAGAGCCTCTAGACACAATATCAGAGCATATGACCATGCCCAGTCCAGCATCAAGCAGCGGGTGCAAGTAAATCGAACCACTGCCGCCAGGTGGCCTATGCCATCGGCATCACTCAAGGTGCATCTCATGTTCTCACTCTTTTCTTGCTAGTCCTTCTGACGATGTTGTCGATCTTGCCGTCAGGAGGGGTTCTTGGTGGCTTGATAGCCGGCTTCTGCTTCGTCATACCTGGTGCGTGACTTGACTGCAGATCGCAGCAAGGCTTTGAGGAGTGTTTGTGAAATGTATGGCGAACAGGTACAAGCAACTTCAGTCATGGTGAAAACCTGCCCAGAAATGCGTCTCGCTTTCGGGAATTGAAGCATCGTGGTGGTACGAGTTGTCCATAAGCATTGGATGATGTATTGGCGACGTCAGATGGTTGCTGGGGAAATCGTCCTAATGTCCGAGCTGTTGCAAAGGATTCTTCTCTCACTGCTGGGCTTCGTGGCCAGCCGAGAGATGCGGGAGCAAGTGTGTGTTACAGTCAGTCGCAACTACCTCATGCTCCGAACACATTTACGCCGAGGTGTCCCAGACATTGTCCGAGCAGATTGAAGAACCTGCCTCACCTGCAAACGCGGTGGTGCCATGTCTGCAAGTGGTTCGCCAAACACTGCCTGGTGCGTTGGACACGGCATATGCCTTTTTCAGGCGATTGCTTGCAGCGCTGTTGGAGTTGCGTCTTCTGTCTGCACTTGGGCTGAGGGCAGTTTCTGAGAGGATGCAGCCGTTCTGCAACCTTCTGCTTCATGGCCGGAAAGACGACAAAGCTGTCTCTGAGGCTGGTCTTTGTGGCGATCACTGGACTTATCAAGAAGCAGGTTTTCGAAGCTGGCAACCAGGTTGTCTTGGGTGGTGACTCTAGGTGGCATTGTGGGCCCCAAAACGCCACGAAAGTTCTTTGACACGCGACCTTGCAACTCAGATCTGCTTCTTCACCGGGGCCATCTGCCTGCTGGTGCACCCGGCCCCGGCTTGGCTGAACCCAACCTTGATTCTCGTGGGCGGCCTCACGACCATTATCTACCCAGTCCCTCGGCTAATCACAGGGACAGGTGTGCAACACCTTAACGCTTGGACGTGCTCGGAATCGTCTTGTGCATGAGGCATCTAAAGATTCAGAAGTGAAGCACGCGCAGGACACTGGAAAGTCAGGCCGAATCAGTGGCAGTCTTTGTGCGGTAATGCTCGGGGTTGCTCTGGGTTTCTGCTATGTCAGGAATGCCTGTAGCCCTGGCAGTTTGCATCTTCTTGTTGCCACCTGGCAGAAGTGAGTCGGATGGCATGGGCTCTGGATGCTCCAGCGATGTCCGTGTTGATTTGACATGACATATAATAACAGCATAAGGTACGTGGCAGTTGCGGCATTCACCTTGTGGAGGGACACCTTCGATCACGGCTGGGTCATGCCTTTTTTGACCGCAGGCGCAGCAGTCTCTTGTCTTCGTGTGGAAGACTTTGTGCTTGCGGCTCGATTTCCAAGGCATGTTCGTGTGGGGTGGAGGGCCGGTGGTGCTCCCCATGTTGATGACGTTCCTGACTCCCAGCTGGATCTCTCCTACGATCTTTTTGGCTGGGATTTCCTTTGCAGAAATGATGCCTGGTCCTGTCTTCAACATCTCTTGCCTCTTGCCGGCACACTATGCTAGTCGTTATATTCTGGCACAGTCCGGCAGCATGGAGCTTGCAAAATCGCACACAATCCCGCAGGCAAGCAACACTGCATCATACGCGTTGTCAGGCTTCCTTGGCATTCAGCTAGCTTTGAACAGCGGAGTCTACTGGCTTTGGGGTATCTTTCTGTGCTGGGCAGGCACCTGGGCAGAAATCGAAGAGATGAGAGAGGAAGAGAGGTCTGACAGGAAGTGACGAGTTTCGAACGGCCAGGCCTTATGGGCCCGGGAGTTACCTTGATTTTCGGGGCCTACACGCTTTGGGATGTGGCTCGGCCTCAATGTGACAGCGTTAGCCAAGTACACCACAAAATTAGCTGAGGAACTCCGCAAGCAGCGGCTGTACCAGCATGCGCTACCAGGTAGGATGTCAGAACAGATTCGGAAATGATCTGATCTTATGTGATCCTGTGCGTCTATCAGGGTTTGACAGACCGGGCAAGCGGGCTGACTGTCAACGGAGCAGGGCTTGTTTTATTTCAGAGTTGTCAGTGGCAGCATTGGTTGCGCTGCAAGGCCTAAATGCTGCGGCTGTTGGGCTGCTGGTGCCGACCATGTTTGTGGTCTACGACACTTTACAGGAGACCTGCTGGGGATAAAAGGATATGAGATTTGTTTTGCTCTGTTGCAGACTCCGAGGCGCGGAGCCCGTGGCAATCTGGAAGCCGGGCTCTGGTGGTCCTCGCTTACTACTTCATCGAGTTGGTTAAGGCTGCACAGTGCAATGCTCCGTCATATCAGGAATTGCATTTGGATGTAAGTGGCCATGTACTGCCGTATACTGTACGAGGTGAACGTGCCCTTGGTGGTGGTCGTCAGCGGCCTCGCTGGACTGGCGTGGTCCCTCTACGCACCACACTAGACTCACTAGACAAACAAAAAAGAGATTCCGACTGAATCTGCGGAAAGTGCCAGCTGCTGCCCATCTGCCGGATTCTGACCATGGAAGGTGGACGGAGCGCATATTTCGATTAGAAACTGGAGCCATTTCTTTACAGTTTTTCGCGAGCCGCCGGTGAGCTACTACCTTGACGCATCTGCTGTTCCAAGAGTCAACAGCAGCAAAGTCGCGTGCAGACTTGCCCCCACAGCTTTGGAAAACCAGCGACTGAAATGTTTGTCATGACGGACAAAGTTGAGAAACAACAACTAGCGCACCTGTGTTAGGGATGAACCCGCAAGTTTCACCTGCGCAGGGTGGACTACTTCGTGCAGTCGGTCTTGGCAAGCCTTCAGGTGTGCACGTTGAGGGGAGCTTACCATATCGGTATAGATGCCTACTGGCCTCAGGGCCTTGCTAGCGATTTGTTTGAACTTGTCCTTGATTGGATCCTTGCAGGAACCGGGAAGCGAGCTGAGTGCAACAAGGCATCGGGAACAGCACAGGGCTGGCAGTTCCGGAATCCGGGAACAGTTGAGCAATAGGGGGAAATTGAAGTCGAAGGCGGGTGGAGTTTGTTTGTGAGCTTGCCTGGTCTTCTAGGTGGTCTGTCGTCGGTGCTCTCGTTGTCTTGAGAGAAATGTCACCGCCCGGCAGGCTTGCGGTGCTGGTGCCTTGATCTGCACAGAGCAATGGGCAGCACGAAGTACCCGAAATCTCACGTGGTCGTCTCGGTTTGCCCATCAGGTGCACTCCAGGATGCCAATTTGCACAGGAGATGTGCAACGACAGTGGCAGTCCGCAACCCGTCTTGTGACATGAATCTTTGCGGGCTTTCAGAACAGCAGAAGCACAATTACCGGGCATTAGTTGAGCATGAAGGTCCGCCACCTTTGTCAGCCAGAAGATGTCGATTCGAGACGAAGGCCAGTTGCATGTGGAGAAGCACTGTTCGGGAGGATCGGCGATCAGATGCATTTTGGTTGCAGGCGGAGAGAAGGGCAGAGGGTATTTCGCAAACAGGACCTGCTGCATGTCTGCTCTCGCTACGTGTGGTGCGTGAAAATGCGTAATTGCGCGAGGAGCATTTCGGCGGGTGAGCTACTGCTCTCCGAGGTTGGTCCGGAAAAAAAGGAAGTGGACATAGTGGACCGAGTCCCCGCTACGGATACACCAAGGAGCCCCATGTTTTCAACCCAGACGATGATGACTTCGGTGCTGTTGCTGCTGTTCATGCGCTGGCAGCTGAGGAGGAAGGCTGGGGCGGGAGTGTCCTTCGGTGGTTGAACCGTGCAATTGCAAGTGGAGGTAGCGAGTTGAGAGTGCCTGCAGCAGAAATTGACAGTATCAGCGAGGCGGAGGCAGGAGTAGCTTTATTGCGATTCATCCGACAATCTCGTCAGCCCTTGAAGTTTGGCGACTAGGCTTTCCGTTGGCTGTCGGGCATACCCAGTTTGACAAAGGCCGCGAATCTGCTGCATCGCTGCTGCATCCTGATCAGACTAGCATTCGGCCATTCGTTAGAGTGATGACCAATAGGACTGTAGTGAGTAGTGTTTTTGAGTATTGTCGTCATCCATCCAGCGGGCTGCGACACACTGCAAATTCGGTCTTCCGCCACGCATTGTGTCGCGGCTGGGTTTCGTTCCCGTGCCCCATGCCCCGCCTCTCCGATGTGCAGGTTAGGACCTGCGTCAAGTTCCCGACATGTTCACCCTTGCTACCACCGTCGTGACCAGCTGCCATGGAATCTGACATGCCTTCTCCTGCGCGCGACCTGAAGGAGAAGGTAGCCAAAGCGCCCGGAGCTAAGGTTGGATGGGTCGGAAGTCCCTTTGGTCACAAGAGTCGCTCAGGCTGGCTGCTGCACGAAATAATGGCTTCTGCACATCTCTGCATCCGTACCTCCGTCTCAGCTTGTTGGGGAGCCTTGCTGCCGGTTGCCGTCTGATTGCTCGCCTCGTGCTAAGCAGCCCACTCCAGACAACAGGAGAAGCTTGACGCAGTACTGGGAGTCGTGTGAGCCACACACCAGGACAGCAGAGGAGGTGTGGCTCCTTTTCCGAAAGTCTGACGCTTAAGAACGGCCTAAGGGCTGCTTTGCATTTTCTGCTTGGCCGGTAATTTCTTGCTTACGCATGTAACCAAGGCTGTCTGTCTTCAACCATTCCTGCTGGCTGGAAACTGAGCCTTTTAAGGCTTGTAGGATCATGCCCCAGTCTGTCTAGCATTGAATCCAGAGGCCAACCTGCTCAGTCTATCGAGATCCGCCTGACCCTTGGACCCTTGGCACAGACGTCTGCATCCAAACTGCTATCACATCGACCGGAGGTGCACTTGTTGTGTGTGCACAGTCTGGCTGTCCCTTCCAAAATCATTGAGATCAAAGCATGTCTGCAAAGGTCAGATGGCATCTCACACGTTCTGGCTATACGTCCTGTGGATAAGGCTTCGACCACACGTATTGCGTGTTGACTTCAACTTGCTGTCTGGGAACATGCCTGCAGCATGTGGCGCAACTTCCGGGTATATGTATTCTGACTGGTCTGTCCGGCAGGGAACAGAACTCACGCACGGCCGGCTGCCATTGTGATACTATGTATGATGTTTTGCGCATTGCACGGTGGGTTGTCATGAACGCAGCTGTTCACGCCGACTTCGCCAGGATTCATTATGCCGACGACTTAATCCTACTGCCCAAGGAGCTGTCTGGCCCCAGGAACGTCCGCAATGAATGGCCCGCCCGACATGACTTTCATGCATGATCCTCTGTCCTGCAAAGCTTTGAGGCGCAAAGCATTCCTTCCCGGCCGCTTTGGCTTTGCATGCGAATGTGATCGATGCGAAGAAGAAGACCAGGCAGGAGTGCGTGCGAACGGTCAACATCGCTGTTCCCATCGCTCGGGTACTGGGATGGGTTGGAGGTCGGGACGTTGCGGATTGAAACTGTGTGGCCGGATGCAGTTGCTCCTTAACATGCGTTTCAGGCCGCTGCCAAAGTTGAGAACCTCCTGCTGAAGCATGCAGAAGGGCGCAGCGACACCTGGCAAGAGGAGCACCGTCAGAGGGCTATGCGGGCCAGGGTGTTTGCTTTGGGCTGCAACAGAGAGACAGGTCGTGTTCAGAATCCACGCAATGAGCTTGCGATAAAGCAAACGACGACTGTGCCGTCGGGCGGTGTTGTGATCTGCTGCTTTGCCATTTTGCGAACCTTGGAAAGGAGACCCAGCTGGCACATGCAATGAAGACTGCCCATGCAGGCGTGTACAGTGCGGCTTCCTACAGCGGTGTGTGCAGCCCGTGAGAGGAATTCTCTTGATTCCAAGCCAGCAGCTTTGCTACAAGTAGAGCAGTAAACGACTCCGACATGTGGTTTCCCTCTTTCATCGCTGCAAAGTTAAAGAGCTTGAAGTGAATCGGACAGGGCTCTGCAAGATGCGGCAAGAGCGAGGTCGACCCGCAGGCACTGGGTGCCCTCTGTCTTTTATCTCTGTCGTGGAGCAACACCTTTTGATGAGCACATTGTTGACATTGGCGATATCGGCTCAAACGACTGTAGTCACTTGGACTGCAGCCCCTTGAAGGCGAGTTGCTGCTTGCAATCATTTTCTACTGGAACAACGGGTGCTACACCTTGACTGATGCCCTCGAGCTGTCCATAATTTATCCGCTAACGCGAGACCCGCCTCGGAACTGGTCTTGTGTCCGCAGCGCAGAGGTCACCGGGGCCACGTTTTTGAACTCTTGGCATGGAGGCTGTCATACGCTGGGGAAGCCTTTCAGCTGAAAAACCGGGACAAAGCAAAGCCACATGCAAGACAGCAATCCAGGGATCAGGAAGGTTAGGAAGGACAAAGGAAGGAAGAACTGGAGGAAGAAAAATGCGAGGATTCCGGGAAATGAAGGGAAGGGAAAGGGAGGTGGCCGGAGAAAGCCGGAAAGGAGCAAGCTGGAGGGGAAGGGCCAGCCCGGAATGTGGAGGAGCCATCGTCACAGCTGCTTCTACCTATCCCCCAATTTGCTTCCAACAAATCCAAAACCGGGAGCCGAATTTTGCCGGACAGGAACAGAAGGGTTGGGTACAATGTATTTGCATTACACCTACTCCCAAGGATCGGATCTAGACGCCACGGCCGCCGGCCTCGGCGGATTTCTCTGTTTGCGTGCCTGCCTGCCTGCCTGGCCTGGCCTGGCCTGGCCTGGCCTGGCCTGGCCTGGCCTGGCCTGGCCTGGCCTGGCCTGGCCTGGCCTGGCCTGTCTGTCTGTCTGTCTGTCTGTCTGTCTGTCTGTCTGTCTGTCTGTCTGTCCTATCTGTCCACGTCGCTTCTTCCTCCCACGACGTGTGCGATTCACATATATTCCCGTGGCCGACATCAGGGCTTGCAACATCCGGCGGGTTCGTGCTCGCACTGCCCGAGCCCCTTCAGGCCTCTGCTCTGGGCCAATCGTACTGAGTGCAACCGACAAACTGCTTCTCAAGGTGTGGCCATGCCGCTCTTGTCCCGCTCCAGATTTCTCCAAGCTGCTCTGGCCCGCAGCAAGCCAAGGCGCAGGGCAGACAATAGACCGACCGGACGAAGTTGACAGTTTCTACGCCTGCGGTCCCCGAAAGGTGGGGTGGCTTCGGATCGCCCAAGGTGCGGCAACATAAATGACTCCCACAATCAGATTAAATATGTGTATGTATGTCTCAGGATCATGAACCAGCTTGGATTGAGAGATGGGCGGCAAACCGCCGCGAAGGGCAGGACAGCGGAAGAAGGGGAGGCGAAAGAGCGAAGCCACTGGATCGGCAACATTTCCCACGTGGGCAGGACAACATGGACTGGTTCTTTCGTGCTTTCAACTCCACCCGTATCTACGAGACCTTTTTGAAGAGCTTCTCGGATTGGTTTGACAGCGCTGGCGAGTTTGTCTCCAAAATAAAGCTGGTAGCTCGTAAGCACAATTTGCTGTTTGCTGAAATACCTGCAACACGGAGGCTCTCCGCGTTTCTATGGCTTCATTGTGTGGACCAGTATCATTGGAGGGCATCATGGCATGAGGTTTTGGCTGGCTGCAAACCACACGGTGACGAAGTGCTAGTGCAATCATATGGCTCAGTCTGATGGGTACAGCGAAGGTATTGCTGGAGTCGAATGTGGGACCACATTTGGCGGCTTGGCTGCGAAACTTACACGGTGTATGCATGCTGGATTCAGCCAGCTCCTGGAGTTGAGTGCAGACCTCAGGGATTCTATCAACCAGGGCAAGCTTTACCGCCACAACCCTTATGTGCCTTGGCTTTCGATCAAAACTGTCTCCGTTTCTCAACATTGGCAGCGGCTTTTGCCTCGAGGTTTATCCAATTCCGGAGGACGACGAATGAGCTCCGTCCCAGAAGCTGCCGCTGACCCAACTCAAAGTGAGGTAGAACAGCTGCCGTGGAAGTGCTTCTGGTTTCACAAAGATGCAATGTAGCGATGCAGCTTGGCAACTCTGATCCGTTTTGCGGCCCGACCTATGCCTTGATGTAAGATAGTCCGATGGACGATAGATTTGGACGATGCCCAAAAAAGACTTGTGCGGCAGCCGTGCGGCGGGAAGTGCGTTTCTTCACTTGTCGTGGCACCTACGCCGTGCCGCCTCTCGGCCTCAGGCTTCGTGTATCGGGACTTTGACAGCGTCGAGCTTGTTTGGACTTTGAGTTGGCCCACGTTCGTCTATCTCTTTGCTGAGAGAGCGCATGGCTGAGATTGGGAAAACGCCCTGGCTTCGGTGGATTCTGCTTTGTGGCGAACTCAGCGTTTGCCACTTGCTGTGTGAGGCTTTGTTGCACATGAGACGGGGCAGGACATGAATCCGACCCCTTTCATGACCGGAACTGTCAGTGTGCTGCCTTCGACTGCGGGGCTTAGGCCGAACATCGTCGCTTATGGTGCCAGCACTCACTGGGCACGGCACCATGCGAGAGGTCTCCGGTGTCTGGCCTTGGAGGCGTGCTGATACTGCCGATTTCAGTCCATGGCCTTGAAAAATCAGGGGAAGTCCCATCTTGTCTCTCCCAAATCCTTTCCTTTTGCAAGTTGCACGACACAACAAGAGTGGAATGACAAGTTGCATGTCCACCGGCATATTGCAGGATACTGCAGGCAACTCAATACTCTTGCCCAATTCACCCTTTGCTGCACAACAACTGAGTTTGCTCAGCGCATCGCTTCGCTCAACGCTGTGAGCCCGAAACTCGGTAATGTACCAGAGGCCTAGCCGCCTAGCCCCAAACAGTTGTACTGGCCTCATGTCGCTCACACCCAAGTTCCCACCCGCGGTCGCCTCGACGCTTGTTCCCTGTGTGCTGAAACGGTTGGGCATCGTTGTGTCATGTGAAAGCCTTCCTGCGTGTGCACGACGCACCGTGCGCTCTATGCGAGGCAAATCCATGCAATTCAATCGAGGAATAGAGACGTGAAGTCAGTATAGGCCGGATGCGAGAAGTATCTCTCGCAAATCTTGTGCGAGAGCAATGATCAACAATGATTTGCTACCATTACGCTATGTATCTTACACAGACAGGGGCTTCACCTTACCAGCACCAGGCCCTTGAACGCGATGCAATCGGTTATCTGGCACTGGCGGAGCATGCAGCGGCTGCATGGCAGCTGCTGCCACGGTACTCTGATGCCGTGCGGCTCCTTCACCAACGGTTGCGAAAGGCGCGAAACTTGTCCTGTCCTGGCCTTGATCGCCCAAACCTGCTCTGGGTGAGCACAGGTCAAGTCACGACTCCCTGAGGCTCTCCAACATCGTCAGAGCCACAGAGGAACTTGACCGTCTTGTGGATCCTCATTGTGCTTCCTGAGCCCTCAGGTTTGTGTGAGAAGGCCAGCCACCTCGAGTTCTTGTATGTTCCATGCTAATGTGAGAGTCATGTCCAAGCTTTCCATTTTTTGCAGAGAAGGTTGCCAGCAATGGCAAAGCAGACCCATGCCAGGGATCCTACACCAGCCAAACCTTTTCGTGCAGGAACATGTTGGTCCATTGACAATAGGATAGAAATCTCATAGGTTGAACTTGGCTGAAAAACAGATTATCTCAATCACTGGACAGAATGCAATGGGGTGATCGGGTTCAGGCATTGCCCTAAAGGAAGAAACGGAAAAAAGCAAGCATGTGTGTTGCGAAGGCTAACACGGATCAGAGATGCAAACCCCGGGTTGAAAACGGAATGGATCTCAAAGGCCGACGGTCGCAGTGTCGGCTTGGCCAGCCGAGTGTACAGCTTGCACTTCCCTTGGGCTGAACTCGTTTATGAGGTACACAGAACAGACGCGTGACATGCCGGCTTTGCGGACCTTTCTTGGGCGCAGGGTCTGACCTCCAAATCCCGAAAAAGCCACTAATCACTAATACAAAGCTGTTGATGTTTGCGAGCTTGTTGCAGGCCAGTGACCTCCATGCCGAAAGCTGCAGCCCTACAGCTCGAGCCGATGTGGAAGTCTCGGGGATCCTAGGAGCTTGGATTGAGTCTCGAGGCTTGCAAGGTCTGGAACGAGACATGGCGAAGCTGGAGGCTGCACTTGTGCCATCGATTCTTCATGGCTCTCTTGTTGTTTTGCAGGTGTGGCTGAAGCAGGCAGGTGCCAGCGATAGCCGGCCCCCAAGCATTTCTGTCCAATGCTTGGTTGAGATCCGTGATAGTGCAAGGCCAGCCAGCAGGCAACGAGCAGAATCTGGAGCAAAATTGCGCCCTGCAACAGTGATCGTAGCTGGCATCCAGCATCATGGTTTCGGTGCCATAGCAGCCCGTCGACGATCTCCGCACAGGCTTGAAGGACAACATGTGTACATGCGCCGATGTACAGCAAGAGACTGTGAGGACCACAACTTGATCCCAGCACACCCCGGAGCATTGCAGCTGCGAACTTCGCTAACCACTAACGTTTTAAGAAACAAAAAACAAGCAGCAATGGCGGGCAGTGCAGCCTTGAAATCTCAGCTATCTCAGCTCCCCAGAGCCGTTCGACGAAAGCCCTAAACCCTTCTCTGTTGATTTGACGATGAGCTGAGCTGTCAATATTGAAGCCATGGACAGTCTTGGTCTGCAGGCTCTGCTTCAGTGGTTTTTTCTCACTCTCTGAGTCGAAAGCCCTACAGGCCCGAGCGGCGGGCAACACGTCGCCGGAGGCAGCGGCTGTGTGCGGACTCTCTAAGATCCTGAGACGTGGATTGTCGCGCCAGGCTGCTTTTGCATGGGCCATCATGCAGAGGACCTCAGGCTTGGCGAAGTGCTGTTGCTGCATCGGCATTTGGAAGTTTGGAAGCACTTCCGGCGAAGAGGTGGCTCGTCCTCGTCCTCCACCTCCAGGACTTCTGCGAAGGCTCGTTGCGAGACATCAACGTTCTAGCCTGCACCTGGTCCGTGTCGTTCGCCAGGCCTCGCGATCGCTTCATAGCATGGGCCCAGGCCATCTTTCTCGACAGGAGTAGGGTGTGCTTCGGCTGTCTCTGACGCACAGCCAGCATTGCCACGAGAGTCGGGCAGTAGGGGCTGAGTCGCTGGGATGTTGGGTGTGCGGGCAGATTAGAGGGTCTGACCCTGAAAAGGTGAGGCCGGGGTCTTTGCAAACGCCGTCGGGTTCCCGGTGTGCAGCTGAGCGGCTGCAGCACCGCTGTAGAGTGTTGGGCTGACAGGCAACAGTGGAGCTTTGCATCGCGTCCGCGTGCCTGGGCTTGGCAGGCAGGACTAGAAGAGTCACTCGCAAAAGTGCTGAGTCTTGATGTGGACTTCAGTTCAGGTCGTGAACTAACTCGCCGAAGACGACATCGAACTACTCGACAGGTGCTGTGGCAAATTTGCTGCATGTCGCAGTCAAGTCAGGGGTGCTAACATGAAGGCTATGGGCAAACTCGTGCGACCACCGCTGCCGCCGTACATGCAAGCAGATAGCCCATGTCTCAGACACTTTTGCTGCGCGAAATGTCGGGTTGAGCGCTGAGCGATCTGAGGCCAGGCGCTGCTGCCTTCCACCTCCCAGGCCAGGCAGAAATAGGCAGAACCTCAGAGTCGTCGGAGTATTCCCGTGAATCGACACAGGACATCTATGTTCACCCAGCTTCTCGTGGGGTGGAACATGCTTTGACGAGCGATTCACTCAGGACACAAGCTTGAATCAGCATCTGTGGAAATCATGTGCGGAATAGCAGAATAGCAAGTATCAGGCATAAGGAGATCGACACTAGGTGCCATAAGATATGAACCTTTGTCGGTTGGTTCTTCGAACAAGTCGGAGGCATAATATCCAAGTGTTTGCTCCGCCAACTTTTCATGGAACGAGTTGGTGGCACATACACCACTCATACACCAGTGGGATGCTTGTGGTTAGTGCTGCATTTTGGCGTTGCATATCGAATCAAGAGGCCCAACCCGATGCTTTGCGAGTCTTCACACTGTTTTCCCAATCTGATCTGTCTCCTGCGTTTGCAGAATTCAGAAACAGTTTTCCTGAATTTCAATTCCGGTCGTTTTCCGAATTGGTCTCGACTTGTTTCCGACTTGTCCGCAACCATGTCTCTGCGTGGAATCTCCTGCGAATCAGGACGCTGTGCAAAGCCCTGGCGTCGGCAGCCGGTTCGCTATCAAGACATGGACCCAGCATGGTGACTGAGTCTGTCCGTAGCCGATGCTCAGGCTCATTCTTGTCGAATCCGGAGAAAGGGCTCGTCGTGGCCTAACTCCAGGGCGTGCAGGGCATCTACCCAGCTGAATTTCAGTCCTTAGCCCGTCAAAGGACAGAACTCGAAGACCGAAGATGGATCCGACCTTGACAATCAGGCAGGATACATAGAAGTTTGACGTGGGTACACGGAGGTCTTCCAGGTTTTGGCTTGTGAGATCGCGCCCTTGCAGGGCGTTACTTCGATACAGCGAGTTGCGACATACATCTGGTGACGTGTGGCCCTCAAAATTGTTATACTCGGTAGATTTAGTTGGGAACCCTTTCCGGGCGAATCTATCTTAAGTCTTGCAAGATTCTTCCAAGAAGTTGTCTGGTCTGTGTAACTTGTCTAGACGGCTCTATCTCAGAGCAATCTTGCTTGAATTTGAAGCGTTATTCATGTCGTTAGTTAGACATCTCGGCCATGGAATCCGCAAGCCTGTGCCTTCCAGTTTCGAACCGTGTTAGTGCGAGAGACACGTGAGTTCAGCTCCTGTATGACGACAATGTAAGATAATGTAAGTACAGGTTTCATGTGAGTGGCAAGGCCTTCTATATTACGTTCGCAGGTTGCTGCACTCGCAGGGGAAATGGCTACCTGAACCATAGGGCTCTGCCCATGACCTGCTCCACATGGATCCAAGTGCAAGGATTTGCAGCCCCAAGACTACCTCGGCGAAAGCGGCCAGGGCCTTCGCGCCTGCAGCCCAGCCACAGGTCTCGAGGAATCAGGGTCCGGGATTTGACTGAGGTGTTGAGTCATTGAAGCCAGTGTCTCTTTTTGCAATGTCGTGTTCACTAGCACTGCTGTTGGCAGGCTTTACTCAAGCACTGCCGGAACTACCAGCTGGAGGCAGGAGCGTCATCTTGCTCAGACAGCACGGCTGCTGTAAGCGACAAGTCGAATTGGATTCCGCCTTCTTGGAGGTGGCATCTGCTCTGGAGTCGCGAGAGGAGGACACGGTTCGGATGATCCGGGCATTCCACGACCAGGTTCTATCAAGAATTGATGCCGGCAGCTGGATCGGGTGGCATCTGAGTCTCTGGCAGGTGGATTTGGTGAAGAAGTACCTGCCCTTTTTCCGCACGACCATCGAGAGGTCCTTCCCTGCTCTCCTCAGGCTCAGCGAGGGCAAGGGCTGGGGCTGGGGCCAGGGCCAGGGCTTCCGGGACGGGACACGGGAGATCACGGGAGGCAAACCGTGGAGCCGATGCCCCGGCTGATCAGCTTCCTGGATTCCTTTGGCGAGGAGCGATCCTGACCCTGGCCCTGGCCCCCCTCCGCAGAGGCAGAGCGACGGCACAGGTGCAGCTGAGCTTCCTGTACGAAGCTGCAAAAGACAAGGTCTTCAAGGTGGCACTGCGCATCTGCACGTGATTCACGACATCCTTTAATGCATACTCAAGTTTCTCCTTAGGCGCGCTTCAGCGAGATGCAGCCACGCCACCTCCTGGAGGTTCACAAATCTGTAAGCATCATGGCAAGTGTGAGCAAGACGTAGATGAAGGTCACAGACAAGTGGGTCAGCAAAGCTCGCAGTGGCGAGCTGGCCATCGTACAGTCGCACAAGGAGGGTTTGCGACAGTGTTCCCGGGCCCTTCCCAACGTAAGTCACCACGGAGAGAGGCCAAAGTGGTGGTGCGGCATGTCGCCAGCAAGGGACACAGCGCTCTCTCCAAAGAAGGACTCGGCTTCGTCACCTGTCCCAGGCCTGGACATCTCGCTGTCCCCGCAAGAGAGAGCCGTGTGGGCCTTGGAGACGAGAAGCCCCGCAGTTGGACGCAACAGCACCTTTTTCCTGCTTTGTTTCTATTGTGCCCACCTGCAGCTTCTGGAGGTCTGGATGAGCCTGGCAATCTGGGGCTCAGTTCTCGAGACGTCGCCAGAAGTGGAGCTGATCGAGGAAAGAGATCGCTCAAGCTTTCGCGTTTAAAAGTTTAAGCATCTTCGGTGAGTCCCAGCAGGACCGCATTCGCAAAGGTGCCTTGACTCGTGCGGTGCCCAAGTGATCGACATGCTGGGCTCGAGTGCGATGGTGGACTGTCGAAATTCGTGAGACATTGCTCTAGGCGGCGATCCGGTGGAGATGCTTTCTTTGGCCTTTGCCTCGGAGAGGGCCAAGGATAAGCCAGAGCAGTGAAGTTTGATAAAAGTTGGGTGTGTGAAAAGTCGCTCATCAAGGCAGAGGGCATGAGTGACATTCATGGCTTCAGTGGTGAGATGCCCCTTGCCTAGCTGCCGCAGTCAGAGTGTGATTGAGTCGGTGTTGCCGGTTCATTTGACGCCGTGCTTCCAGGTTTGACATGATACAGGCCCCGATCAACCAGGCAAGCCTACTTCTCGGGATTATCTTGCAAAGTTCCCGTGGCCGTGTTGCCTTGGCGAAGTCTGGGTTGGGCCAGTCCCCAGGAAGGATTCAGGGGGATAACTCCCTCGGACAGAACCATGATTTAATTAGTTGGTCCGGATCTAATCCTGCGAGGCCATGCTGCGCATGGGCCCAGAGAGGGCATCGCAGGCTGGCGGGAGAATGCAGAGATCGGGTTCGTCTGATGAACTCGGCACCAAGATTTGCCTTCCTTGTGGCTTGGGACTGCTGGCGGTTCCGACTCGAGGCATTGGCCTCGCTGACCTTCAGAACAGGCTATCTCAAAAAGCCCGCTGACAAGGCCAAGAGATAAGCCACATGGCACACACACACACACATATATATATATATATATAGGCGTCCCGGATCGAGCCAACTGTAGTTGGAATTGCTGGCGACCCCAGTGCCGCTTTAGGCACGTCCTGTGCAAGCCATAGTCTCTTCGCCACCCTGGCACAGACGACAAAGGCTGCAACGCGCTCGAGCCAGGAGGCTCATTTCTGCTCGGAGAGCAGCTGGCAAGCCCCCTCCTGCTTCTGCTCTGGCTCTACTTGCTTCCCACCACTCGAGACCCAGGTACCGCGAGCTCGCTTCCCGAGGTTTCTCGATGGGCAAACAAGGACAATGGGCAGGCTCTTGGCGTGGAAGACAGTGGCAGTCCTCTGCCTCGGACTGGCAGGAACAGAGTTGGCGCAAGGGACAGGGCCGGAGGTCATCGGAGACCGGCCCCAAGACCGCATTCCCCTCCTACGAGGACATGATCCCGGTGGAGGAAGAAGAGAAGCCAGTGGGGGCTGCAATGACTGCAGCCGGTTCCTCTGCAGACTTGGTCCGCTTCGTGCAGAAGCATGCCAATGTGATCCGCAAGGCGGAGGCAAAGCTTCGCCGCGCCGAAGCCGAAAAGAAGGCCTCCTCGGTGAAATGGGAGAAGTTCCAAGTGGAGCTGAGAGCCACCTTCGTCAAAGAGCGGAACAAGCACATGGAGGCCCTCAGCAAACTCGACGTCGAGATGGAGGAGCAGACCACGGCCAAGGAGGATGCTGTAGCGGAGCTCTACGACGTCCTGGCCAACCCGGGCAAGCTGACCAACAGAAGTGCTACCCCGCCAAGGCGCGAAGAATCCGAAGAAATCACCAGGGAATGGGAGGCTCTGATCGCCGGCGCCGAGGACGAGGACATGGGTTTAGGCGGCCTTCTGGCAGGTGCCATTGCCGGACAGACCCAGCTCAAGAAGAGTGCACGGCAACAAATGATGGCGGCCCTGCAGGGTGTGAAGAACGATCGTATGACGCCGCAACGGCCACCAAGCGCATGCCCACGCTCGCCGGCGCCACCTCCCACAACCGCGGCGGCCCCCCCGGTGGCAACGGGGCCGCTCCCGACGGCGGAGGAAGAGGGCACCAAGGAGCTCGTGGACCCGTATATGACGTCGCCTTCGACGATAACGGCCATCCCGTCCCTTGGTGCGAGGCGAAGCACTTCGAAGCCAAAGGTCCTTGGTGGCTCCCACCGGATGCCGATCAAGTTTACGGCGAGGAAGCCGGTTCCCAGCCCGGCGCCCGGAACGCGCCTTGCCCAGAAGCTGGAGAAGCAGAGGGTCAAGGCCACCGCGCTCCTCCTGAACGACGACGAGGACGAAGCGGAGGACATGGCGCTAGAGGATGCCGAGGAGAAGGACCATGCGGATACATCCCAGGAACCAGTGCCAGTGGACTAACGGTCCCCTGCGAAGCGGCTGATCAGGATGGGGGACTTTGCCCTGTTTGGCCGAAGATGTATGAACAGCAGGCTTGCTTGATGACACAAGATCCCGAGCAGCCACACTCTTTTTGGAGGCTTTTTCGGTTCGTCCTCCACAAGCACTTCGACGGTCTTCGCGTTCTACGGGACCATCGCAATCTTCCTGATCCCCCTCACATGGCTATTCGTGAGAGGATCTCCAATTTTGTTGGGGTGGCCCCTGACCACCTAAGAGTGCGGCACGGCCCTTCGGGAGGCCACGACCCACCAGATGATGACAGGAGAGGTCATGCGAGGCGCTACTATGACCTCCTTGATGTTGCCGGGTTGCCCAGCTGCTCTATGACTTCTTTGCAAAGGGGTTTGCGGAGATCTACGCGGCAGCGATGGCTTGGAGAAATGCCCAGCAGCTTGCTTCAGGAGTGCTACTAACAACTCTGTTGACCAAAGGCTGCAAGCGAAAAGCAGGTGGCCACTGCCAGACTTGGTGGCTCCGGGGAGTCCTGGCGTTTGCAGTGGTAGCCTCGGCTGGAGCGGCCCCTGAAAACAGAGCAGGCCCCACCAGAAGCAAGCATGGTCCCGTGCCAAAACAATCTGACATCGAGCTATGGGCCAGCGGGCAGCTCACAATCCGTGAGCAGATGCAAGCGGCAAGAGACAGGCTGATAGCTGAGAGCCCCTTGGGGCACTTTGCTTCCGAGGCTCCCTCAACGAGCTATAGCGTGCCAGCCCCGGACGGTCCACCAGCCGAGGCGGTGCAAGAGATACAACATGCGACGCATATCTCTGCATGGGTGGCCGCTCCCTACTACCAGGCTGAAACCGTTGACTTTGCCATGGGTTTCCCCATCGCCGGCCCGCGTCTCTGCAGAGCAGTACATGACTCGCTCAACAGCCTGCCAGACTTCCTTGATGAGGTCATCCCTACTCGCCCCCAGCTCTCAGAATTTTATGCAAGCTTCATCGCGATCCCTATGTGGGCTTCGCAAGCTGGACGCAAGGGCATCCTTCTTGACTGCCGACGAGCTGCTGGCAATGTCTTTGCGGTCTACATGGATGGACCCATGACGCGAGAGGCGGTGCTACAGCATGCCTGCCCACATGACTGGGAATACGGCCATCTGGATGTTTACCCCTTTGGGAGGATGACGCCTCTTCGCCCGGGCGAACAACTCCCGGCCGTGCGTGGTGGCCTGGTTCAGGTTATCCCTCGTGGCGAAGAATGTGTCTGGCATGGCTTCATTGAGCAACGGTTTGACCACCCTGAGCGGTGGAACCCTCATGTTGAGCCACCCCAGCCTCCTGATGAGACAAGCGTCGTCTTTCAGAGCCCGGAGGACCAAGTGGTCCACACCATCGAGCCAGATGAGGTTCGCACCCAGCTCTCCATTGCTGAGGAGTTATTCGAGCTTCCCGACGGGACATCTTGGGTGCATACACCGCGGCACCCGCCGCGTGGGCTTTCTCATGCTGGGCGAGCTCTGGACACGCAGGTGGCAGTGCTGAATGAACAGCTATCTCCGCAGCTCGAGGTCACAGTGGTGTATGTTGACCTCCGTGGGCTGACGCATTTTCCTCAATGGCTTGTCCTGCCCACGGCTGAGTTTGACCCGGTTGACTACCTTGATGGTATACAGATCCCGCACCTCGATGGCTGGGAGATTGTGATCGAAGGAGGCGTACCGCTTGCGCATGGAAATGTGGTGAGGGTCTACGACGGGGAAGTGATTGTCTTCTACATGGAGCCGGTGAGCTCGGCTATGTCCTCAGAAGATGACGAGGAGTCCAGCGACGACAGTGAGGATGACTGCATGTCTGGCGGACTGCCGCACTCTAGTGACTTCTCCTCCGGTACCCCTCCACAGCCGGGGGATCCGCCAAGAGGCCCTCCGCCCCCTAGACCGGTGAACCGGAGCCGATCACCACGCAGGGAGCAACCCCGTGATCCTCCATGTGAACTACGACTGGCAGATTGCCTGCCAGCGGCTACCTTTGACATCTCCCAGCAGACTGTGCCCCTACCTCATGCGGCAAGTGATGTTGCACTGCTACTGCAGCCGTGGCCGCCCAACTGGTGCGACCCGAACCTCTCTGGCATTGCCATGAAACACCCAACTGAGCAAGCTCTGCGGACAGCTGTTGAATGGCGGGAGCTCGTGCGCCCTGCACCAGGAGGGGCCCATCCAGAAGTGCACGTCTACACTGATGGATCGTGGCTGGCCGCCCAGCACCGGGGTGGCTACGCGGTAGCAATTTTCCTGGCTGCTGCCGGATGCCATGCGTTGTTTGGTGTCCTAGAAAAGCAAATACAAGGAAACGAGAGCAGTGTTTGGGCCCATGAGGCTGCCCCTGCCTTCAAGAATGAACAGGTTGCCATTGCTGTTGCCCTCCTGTGGGGCATCCAGATCAGCAGCCTTTTGCCCATGGCAGCCTTTTACGTGCACTTTGATTGTATGTCGGCTGGCTGGGCGGCAACAGGGAGCTGGGAGTCGCCGAACGAGTTCGGTAGAAGGTCACATGCCCTCGAGCAGTTCCTCGGTGACCTCTCTGGCGTCCCGGTCTACCTTAACCATGTCAAAGCCCATGCCTCAGAACCATACAACGAGCTGGTGGACTCGCTTGCGAAGCATGTGGCTCAGAACCCCGGTTCGCTACCACTGCCGCCGCGGGCAGTGTGCGAAGCTATGCAGATGATGGACTTGACGTGGCTGCCGATGTTGGCCCAGAACAACCATGTTGGTGCCTACCCCATCTCTGCTGGCCGCATGCTTCAATGGAGCCAAGATATAGACCACCAATCGTCTGCCCTCTGCCCGCACCAGCTTATCCCCACAGTGGAGGACTGCAACTCTGAAGGCTGTGAGGAAGAACTGGCCTTCTCATCCACCTTGCTATCGCTCAACGCGCAGACTTTAGCTGGGCGGCATAAATACTATGAGGAGCAGCTGGTGTCTGACGGCTGCCAGATTGCCTTCTTCCAGGAAGTCAAGGGCATGGGTGGTCTCACAATGAGCAAGGAGTTCCTCAAGATTGCGACCGACTCTGCCAAGCACTGGGGTGTTGCTATTTGGCTGAGCCGCTCCAAGGGCCTCCTGACCAGAAACAATGCTCCCTACGTGGTGGGAGAACCAGATATCAAGGTCATAGCCGCCACACCCCGACTTCTGATCGTCTCTGTTGACCTAGGCGGGCCAAGAGCAATCCTTTTCTCTGGCCACTGCCCCGATGGGACCAAAGACTCGGATGCCGCCGCTTTCCTGCGTGACCTGTCCGACAAGCTGCGGCCTTTCCAGAAGTCGTGTCTGGTTGTTGGAGGTATCGACTTGAATGGGCGCTTACCGTTGAGCCATGAAGGAGTGACTGGCGGCCTCGCCTCAGGTGTGGAAGATGCCAATGGCAACCGGATGCTTAGCTGTGCGAAAGCGGTGGGGCTGTGGTTTCCTTCTACGTTTGAGTCATTGCATGAAGGGCCGTCGGTGACCTACCACCATCCCAACGGTACGGCCCATCGCATTGATTACATCTGCCTAGGTGGCACCGCTCACATTCAGCAGGCCCATAGCTACGTGGATCAAGTCTTTGACACCCTGAACCCCAACGAAGACCACCAGCCGGCAGTCCTCAAGGTCAAGGGGAGCCTTCGCCAACCGTACTGCAATAGCAAATTGTGGCGGCCAAGGTTCAACACTGCCAAGATGCTCACTAAAGAAGGGAGGCAGACTATTGCTGAAGCTCTAAGAGACTATGCCCCGCCGAACTGGAGCATGCACCCTGACATACACTGCCAGCATCTACAGGACTTCCTACTGCGCCTCATGCAGGAGCACTTCCCCAGTATGACACAGGGACCCAGGGCTAGCTACATCGACGCAGAGACATGGAACATGAGGGACAGAAAGATGGCCCTGAAGGCTCGGACGCGAAGCCGGGCCAGCTTCTGGCGGGACATGATCCCAAGAGCACTTGCTCAGTGGCGAGAGCAACTCGACTATGGGGTCTCTGCGCTGGTCTGCAAACAGGGGTTGCTGTATGAGGTCGTTTCTGTGGCGGTGAGGTTTGCCACGAGCCGAATCAAAGCAAATATCGGCCGGAGTAAGAACGCCTTCTTGCTCCAGCTCGCACATGGAGGTGGCACCCGTGCCAATGACATGCTCCGCTCCATCAAGAAGGCCGGTGTTGGTGGCAAACTGGCTGGACACTTCAGCAGGCCGCTCCCAGCGTTGATGTCTACCGATGGCACAATGGCCAGCTGCCGGGCTGAGCGGGATGCCATATGGCTCCAGCACTTCGGCCGCCAGGAGCTCGGAACCACGGTGCCAACGGACAATTTCCTCAGCGGCATGACGGCGCCTGTCTTCCTGGATGTTGACCTCAATTGGGGGATAGAAGATGTCCCCAGCTTCCTGGAACTTGAGGATGCTTTCCGCCGGACGGCGACAAGGAAATCGCCGGGTTTAGACCACCTACCCGGTGAACTCCTGCGCGCAGCACCTGCTGCTATGACCAAGGTTGCGTACCCCCTGGTTGTCAAAGCGGCGCTGACTATGTGCCAGCCCCTCCAGTGGAGAGGTGGACTTCTTCGGGAGTCTTGGAAGCGCAAAGGACCTCTGTCCGACCCAGACAGCTACCGATCGTTGTTTGTGTCCTCAATGCTTGGAAAAGCTTATCATAAAGTTCTTCGGGCTCGGGCAGCTGAACATGCGGAAGGGCAGCTGCACGATTTTCAAATGGGGGCACGCAGGGGCGCCCCGGTCACGCTGCCGAGCCTGTACATTCAGAACTACCTCCGCTACGGCCTCCACCAGAAATGCTCAACCTCCGTGCTCTTTCTCGACGTGCAATCTGCATATTACACTGTCATTCGAGAGATGGCAGTAGGCCCCATCGAGGACGAAGCGGCGGTGGCCAAGCTTTTCCGCATTTTCAACTTTGCCCCCGATGATCTGCATGATTTCTGGGGCGAAGTACGCAGTGGAGGGTCCATGGGGCAATCCTGCATGCCTGCCCCTCTTCGGCATATGGCCAAGGACATTATGCACAGAAGCTGGTTTGTCACGGGCTACGGGAACTCCCAGCGGCTATGTGTCACGCGTGCTGGCTCCCGCCCGGGTGCTGCATGGGCGGATCTAGTCTTTGCGTTTGTCCTTGGACGGATCCTCTCAGGGGTTTCCGAGCAAGCCAGAGGGGAGGACCTTTTGCCACCGATGCAGGCTGACCCCTGCGGAGGCCCGTTCGCCAAGCTGGCTGATGGGGAGACTGTTTACCCGTTGGACTGCGTCTGGGCCGACGACGTTGCCTACCCGTTGCACGACCCCTCTCCGGAAGCCTTGCTCAAGAAGACAAGCAGACTGTGCTCGCTTGTCCTGGACCATTGTGAAAGGCGTGGGCTTCGGCCCAACCTACGGCCAGGATCCATGTGGAGGCAATCATGCCTGGCATTGGGAGTCGGGCATGGCGCAAGGAGGCTGAGACAACATTCACGCTTGCTGTGCCGGCCCAGCTCAACGACCCGTCTGCGGAGGAAGAACGTGGAGATGACTGGGATGACACGATGCACAGTGCATATAAGGACCTTTGTGGGGCCCTCCTTGTGCATGACTTGCCTGAGGATAGTGCGGCAATTATCCGAAGAATGGCAAGCAGCCTGGGCGCCTACCCGCTCTACCGCTCGGAGGAGATCGCCATTGTCGAGCATGCGGGGGCGGAGCTTCATGGTCTTCGAGCGTCGGGTGAAGATGAGCATTGGAGTGATGCGGTGTTTTCTGCCCTTGAAGCCGCGGTGGTGAATTATGGCGATTCCCCCCTATCGTGGCCAAGTTGTGCGGAGGACAAAGTTCGAGCTTGTGACTCGTTGCAAGTGTTCCAATGTAAGCTCGACGAGATGGACTGGAAGCAGATGTGTGAGTGGGCCGGTCCTCACGTGACCCCTGAAAGTGTGTCCTACCACCTGAGCAATTTCCGGGAAGTTGCATCGAAACTGTCCAGTGATGCGCTTGATGTTGCAACCGTGAGTGAAACTTACTGGCCCCTTGTGCCGGCCGTGCTACAGAATGCTTGGGATGATGCCTTGAATGGTGCCGATGTACAGCTTCAGGCCCCGGAAGCGTTCTGGCAGCATCGCATTTCCCTCCCTTTTCGGCACATGAGGGATACCTGTGCATCTAATTAAGCTGCGAACCAACCTCTGAAAGCCCGCAAAGCAAAAAATATATATATATATATACATGCACACCAATGCTTCCGGGCACCGCATGCGGTGAGAAATCTATTGTGCTTTAGTTTCGATGCCAAGCCTCCCTATGTTGCGTTGTGTTGATGGAATGAATGCGGATCACGGCAGGCACTGGCTCGTCTTCTCAAGCCAGAAAGACTCGTAAAGAAAGTTTACAAATGGAAAAGAGGTAGCGGTCGATGCCGCGGCAGACTTTCCTATGTTGCAGATGACAAAAACTGCAGGAGATGACCGGTACTTCCCAAAAATAAAGAAGAAGGCCGCGAGTCCCTGTTCGGATATCCAAAGACAATGAGCCGCTCATGGCCAGGATCCTCCGAAGCCAAAGAAGCCGAAGGAGGCACGAAATTTCGAATGCACTGCATAGCACGGGCCAGCAAGGATGCAGAATGCCAGATTTCTCCATGGCTGCAGGCTCTTGCCGGTCTGATCGTCAAGGTCCTAGGCTTTTTCACCGAGAACATGCCAATGACTCAGTCACGGTAAAGAACTGAATATATGCTTGGGCTGTCCTGCCAGCAATGCTATGCCCAGGCCCTTGACTGCTCTGGAGTACGTCCTTGCCAAGTGGGTCCGCTTTGCAGAGCTCAAGACAATTGTCCAAGTTTTCAAAAGCATTGATGCGCAATGAGACACATACCACTGAAACAGGTGCGGAAGAATTTCCGCCTGGAGGCATGCTACGAGGCAGTCGCCCCTGAGCATCTCTCATGAGTGTCCAGTGATGTCCACTGTATAGATTCCTACTCACTGAAACCGAATCTGCTACTTCAAGACATTCTCTGAGCTGGGATTCCTGCACTCCTCATTAGCTTTGGCCTGCCAGGTGGCCAGTGACCACCTCTTTCGGATCATTGTTGGAGAGGACTGCCATCGACCTGCCGCTGATGTAAATGACCGACAGTGTCCTGACAGGAGAACCTCGTGGATCCCGAGAGAAACGAGGAGGACGTTCTGGTTCCGCAGAGCACTTATTTCAGCCAGATCCTGCTGCCTTGACCCCGTCTTCTGTCCGCTGCTTGCGATCGGGTGCAGGCCGGGCTCTTTCGCCAGATGCGGCCAGCACTTGGTCGGACTAGGTTTGCCAGCTGCTCAACGCTCTCTTGTGCACCTGTGCTTTGTGCTGATGACCCGCCTCTGTCTCGTTCAAACTGCAAGCAGGATTTCGGGCTTACTCTCAAGACGAAGTGTTCCCGGGGGTTCCCTTGCACCCCGAAGTGCCCGGGAAGCAGCTTCAAATCCCGTCGTCCAAAACGCTGCCGCTGCCGGCGGCCGCCTTGCGCTTCTCACCCCGAGATTCCAAAGCCGGCCTTGAATCCATTATTCCGAAGCACGTAGCAGTGCGTACTGTGCTGCTAAATTTTGAGCAAGATGCACGTGCAAGCTACTGATTCAAAGCGGACTGCATATGTCCGATAACAAAGGACATGTGCCGCAAGCGCACCAGGTTTGTTGTAAGAAAGCCGCACGGCTTGATGCAGCATGTCGAAGTGGCCTCTAAGATATCCTGCCATAAGCGCAACTGTCTGGGATCATTCAGAGAGCTGCGGGATCAGCCGCACTGGAAGTCAGCCAGACCCCTAAACGATCGCGGGGTGTCGCACGTGTCTGAACAAGGCCGGGCTACACCTTTGCACCTGCAGTGGATTGGCTTCTCTGCCACCAGGTGCTGCTGTGCTTGACAAGGGCGGGACAGAACTCGATTCCTTGATTCTAGATACTCGAGAAGCGAAAACAAGCAGTAACACCTGAGTCATACTTCGATGCCAGCTCTGTTTGGCGCACTTCATTCACCGCATTGCAGGTCGGCTGGACGGAGAAGAAGGCCTTCCCTGAAGAAGTCGTCGCAGAGGACACGATGGCAACCGAGCTCAAGTGTGATGTCGTGAAGGTGGACAAAACATTAGCCATCATTCGTCACATGTTTGCCAGTTTGGGGATGCAAGCAGCATGAAGGGTAAAGGGCTGCGAGCCGCCTCCAGACTTTCGCAGAGTCGTAGACACGGAACTCTCTCGGGCTGGCAGGATGCAGCCTCACTCGAGGATGCGACGAAGCGGAGGCGAGGACAACGCGGAAGCTCCACCGTCCTTTTCGCTCTGAGATCCTCCCTGCCCCATGTACGCCTAAGGCGCGCTGCCGCAACGAAGCTTGTGGAGTCCTCTCTTCCTTTGCTCAGACCCGGCCTTAAAGTTTGTCTTGCGATCGTGTGAGCCTCAAAGTCCTTGGTCTGGAAGGCCATTTGTGGCCTGACCACACCGTGGAAGGCAGGCAGCTATTTTCAGGCTTCAGCCAAGAACTTGCATGTTAGCAGGAGAAACCGAGGATGCCAGCATGGAGGAGCGGGATTCCAAGATTCGTTGATTCATTTGCCATCCTGTTCTGGCTTTCTGGTGAAGAGCAAAGGTTCTCATTGCAAAATGCGGACGAGCTGCTGCGGCTCGTCGGGCGAACAGAGGCCGCTTGATTGGATAGCGAGAGAGCGAGATCCATATCTTTTTGCCGGCATACTTTTTCCTTTCCTTTGATTGGGCAACCATATCTGCTTACCGGCGAGATGCCCTTTGTGCTGCAAATCTTTCAAACTACCCTACAAAGCACCCCAACAGGGGTGCGCTTGTCTTCCTGGGGAGGCCTGACTCGCTCCCTGTGCTGCGGAGATAAGACCAGAGAGAGACAGCAGAAAGAAAGAAAAGAGAGCATCCCCTTTTCCATGAAAGTTATGCTGTGCCGAAAGGACAGAAAGGGCAGAAAGCGCAAGGCCACGGATTCGGAAGGCAATAAGTCCAGAGAGAGTCCACCGTGCGATGTCTTCCAAAGGCAGACGTGGCAGCAGACGAGCTGGTAGAGCTCGTGCCCCAAAGCTTCGGAGTCACGGCGCCGCTGCTTTTACGACTGAAGCGTTTCTAGGCGCCTTTCAACGCAGCTGATGTTCGATGATCTCCCCCAGAGGGTTCGGGCATGTCTTTGCTGGGTGATATTTGCTCGTGCACTGGGATTTCTCACAGGCCGAGACGGCCATGCGTTGTGGGCCCAGGATTTCGGCACTCCTGCCAACACACCTAGTTCCTTGCGACGCCGTGCGACGCCGTGCAAAGGTGCATGGCGAGAAGATCAGCCTGAAACCTCGCTTAGCACATTGGTGGTGCTCTCCTAAGCTTTGACCTGGCCTAAGCCTAAGCTTGAACCCGCAAATCTGGTTCTGAGGCACCTCTGCTGCTCGAGGCAGCGCGCGTCGGTGCGGAAAGAGGCTCCCATTAGTTCTGGAGGTGGAAGATGTTTCGCCTTCCTGTGCTCAGGCATGCCAGAGCAGCGGCCCGTTGGTGTTCTGTACTATGCTCGGTCAGCAGCGTTCCGATTAATGAGGCTTTATCAGAATGTGAGACCTCCAGGTCGCGGTCTGTGTCGCTGCTAGCCCAAGCCATCAACATGGAGGAGCTTAGCTGCATTCTCAGTGAGATGGGAATGGATTCAGTTAGCCATAGTCTCAAGCAATGTAGGCAGTCATGGGCAGTCTTGCAGCTGCTCCTTTTCCTTTGGCTCCGCCTGTCAGCGTCGATGCGCACAGGTCTGGAATCCGCGGAGTGGGCGCTGATTCCCTTCGAAGCCGCAGAAAGCAGTTGGAGCCTGAAAGTGTGATCTTGTGAGCTCTTGCGAGCTCTCCTCGTGCCTGCTGACAGGCGACGAAGCTATCTCACTGGTGGCTGCCTCCTGTGCTGTGGGTGGCGTGCCAGAGGACGGTGTCCAGCTACCGCAAGTCTCATGCAAAGTCTCCTGCTCCTGACGGACATTCCAGGACGTCATGGCTGAAACCTGCACAGCGTGGTTGGACTTGGGCTGTGAGCCGGGAAGAATCGGGCACCAGCCGCAGGGCGGCATTGTACACTTTTTGCTGGGATTCTCATTTTGAGTGGAGGACCTTTGAGAGGCGTTGGTTTCAGTGCTTAGGTCTTGAATGCCGACCACACTGTTTGGCTTTGCAAATTGGCATTTTGGATTCTGTGTTCAGTGGCTAGCTGGCCGACTGACTCACCATCCCTCAACATACCCTGCTCCAGAGGGCCCGTGTTGGGATTTGCAAGCGTCCAGGGCTCTCAGAGAATGGAGGTTCGGATTGCACTATGGTTTCTTGGGTTCTGGGTTCATGTTCGTAATAGTGTAGGGTTTGCGGTTCAATTTTGTGACATTGTTGACTTGCCCCAGAGCGACCTGTCGGTCCTTCTTTTGCGGCCTTTTACTCTGGAAGTTTGCTCTCCAGACTATTCAAACTCGCCGCCTCATTAGAGCTGGACCTGAAAGTTTGTGTCCTTAGGAGGCGGAGGTCCGGGCAAGCTGTTGGTGCAAGCAGGTCTCAGACTGTCCTGAAACCCGAACCCCGACTCAGTCAACACAAGTAGGACAAACGTTATAAAGTTCTAAAATACATTTGAAAACAGAAATTGGGTTACCCGAAATGGCTCTCTGCAAGAAGCGAAAGCTGAAAGATCTGATCCTTTCTGCCAGTCAAAGCTTCCACCCTGAGGCATGAAGCTGCACCAACCCATCAAATATATGTCGCTGACAACTGCACAATCGCTACACAATGTCTCGTTCGAGCAATGTGGGCCAGGCAGAAGCCGTTCAGGTGTTCGAAGGACACAATACACGATGCGGGGCTCGGTTCGTCGCAGCATGCTGTGGGGCCGTGGTGTTCTTCGTCAGCCACCCGCAGCGACAGTGTGCTCTCTTCGGCGAGATTCTGGGTGGTGCCAGACTTTGGGCTTGCGCACATGGCGAAAATCATGCACCACTTGTTCGGCAATTTTGTGTCTACATTGCCAGCCAAAATTTAGTCGTGAACGTAATGTGTCAGTCCAGGTCACCGGCAAGACCAATGTTGTCCATGTGTCAAATGATTCAAACACTCAAGAATGCCGGAATCCCGCGTTTCAACCTCCAAGAACTGAGGCTTGCTCGGACTGCCTTGCAGGTGTGGGTGCGGGCCTTTACTTGTCGCCTCGCATCTTGGCACGCATCCCTATAGGGCAGACAAGCTTATGATGAGTGCCACAGGAGCGAGAAGGAGTTCGCGACAAAGGCCTGGCAGCTGCCATTTTGCATTTTCACTCAGATGACTAGTTCCCTCTGCCGCTCCCTTTTTGAAAGTTCCTTGACACAGCTGCTTTTGCGTGATGAGCAGGCCTGGCACAGCTCCGAAAGGCCTTCCTGACCCAGCAGATCAAGTGTAAAGTGCTTTCAGACTTTCATCCTCTTGTGCAGGTGCGTAGCTATTTGGAAGCCCAGCTGGACAAGGCTTCTGGAGTCTGCTTGAGTACCCTATGTTGCTCAGATGCTATAGTTAGTATTCTCTCCGAAGCTGCTCAAAGCGACGTGCCCTGTGCCAGTTGGTGTTAGATGGCAGATACACAACTCAACTACGGCAGCCATGGCACGACTGGCTACAGCTGTCCACCCCTGGCGCTTGCTGTGGAGGCAGTGCAGTGGGTGACTGAGGCAATCACGAAAAAATCCTTGCAGGAGTTTGTGGCAGTGCTTGTTCATGATCCTCCGTCCCTTCGTATCATCGGAAAGGATGTGTGGCTGAACTCTTGTTGGGAAGAGGGGTCGCGTTTATGCATCCAAACGAAAGGCTTCTGCCCCAACAATGACGCACAGGATCTGGTGCAGCCCTCGACTCCAGACTGCCAGTTGGCTGCATTTTGCGCTGGGTTTGGAGTCCAGCAACATAGCCGACATGATCTTTGGTCAGTCCTCGAGTACTCAGGCCACCCTCATCGCCTTCGCCATTCGCAGCACGCAGCCTTGATGATGTCTGCACTGTCCATGGACCAGCTCTGGCGGACGTCTACCCGCCACCATGCACCCCGCCGATACAAAGCGTACATGAGACTGCTTTCCACCCTCATGGAGCTGGAGTGCATCGCAGCCCCTCGGCGGCTGTTGCTGGGGCTACTAAAGGCACAGCAAGCTAGGCATGCTGTGGGCAAATCCCATGTGCAAGTCATGTCTGAAGTAGAGTGGAGGCATTCAGCGGTTGCTTTCCTGGTGGGTGGGAGCACGAAGCCAGAGTCTCGAACAGAGCTTGCGACTTTTTCCGGACAGAAGTGTCGAACGTGCTTGCTATTGACAACGAGACTGAAGCACGGACTGCATATCAGCAGAACCTTGGCCGCAAACTTGTCGCAATTCGTATAGCAAAGCGAATTGTCGGTATCTTTATGTTCAGCGTCTGTCTCCCGTTTCGGGTGTTCGGTGGTTTCGACTCACCGAGTTTAGGGTTTAGGGTGCTTGGTGGTTTGGGGCAAAACAGGCTTTAGTCAGGTTTTGTCCAACATCCTAGGCTTCAGGGGTGCGTTTATTTTGAGCGGTTTGGTGGCATGTCAGTGTGCCAGGGCCCTTTAGGTATCAGCGTCCTCTGGGCGTAGCTTGCTGTTTTTATCTAGAACTTAGAGTGTGGTTATGGGCAAGGCTAGTAGCGTTTTCCTTTCGATTGCTTGATGTTTTCAGTACCAGGTTTTTAGGGCTTCAGGAGGTTTGCAGGAGTTTGTTTACGTCATGAGTCATGAGTCATTGTGTTGAGGCTGTCGTTGGCCTGTCATGGGTGCACTAGTCATTAGACAACATGAAGTTTGTCTGAAGTCAGTAAACCAAGAAGCAAAGCTGGATAGTAAGAGCCGAGCAGCCACGTGAGGTTGCGAGAAAACCAAGAAATCCGCAAAACCATGAATCAGTATCACCATTCCCGGAACAGATGTTACACCGATGCTTTTCAGCACGTTGAAGTTTGTTCAGAGAGATGCTTTCAGTGCCGACCAGAGACCCAGGGCTGGTATCAACGCGATCGTGGACGAATCCAGTTTCGCGGCTCACCCATGCTACGGCCATAACCTCCAAGTCGGCCATACAGCCAAGTATGAGGAGCACATATCCCTGAGGCAGGAGCGCGACAGACAAGACTGAGAAGTGTGCTAGGTAAGCTTCGGCGGCTTTTGTACACTTCCTTGTGGGACAAGGCTAAAGGGGGGCAGCGAGCAGTTCGATTCGACATTTCGGCTTTACCACTCAGGGTGATGGCGCTCGCCTTGGGCATCAATCTTGAGAAGACACCCAGCTACTGGATCCCATCTTGGGATACACATGTCGAGCTCACCGGTGTACCTTGCGACACGGCGCATTCGCTCTGGTGGCATCTCGCCCTGCGTGCGCCTCTGCAGGTGAATGCAGAAGGCTCGGGTTGAAAAGGGCAAGGGATGCCTTTCAGGAGTTAGCATACAGTTAGTTCAGTTGCACTCCAGGATGGGTTGTGAATGTGGGTGCTGGCGATGGCTCGTGTGCCCATGCGACTTGGTAATTTTCAGTTCGGAATTGTTGTGCACATTGGGTCATGTGGGATGCTGTTGTGACAACCTCTGAGGGAGCAGCCCGGGAAGTCTTCCAAGATCTAGATGTCTTCAAGGCACGTGTGACAACCTCGGGAAGAGTTGGTTTATGTCTCGATGCCAGGCTGCTGATCCAGCGAACTGCTTGGTGCATGCAGGCTTTCAGGGCATTCTCTTTGAAGGCGTTGGACGTCAAGATTCGATGCGACCCCACGGAATTTAGGGCCTTTGACGCTTTCTGCAAGCAGCTTGTGAGGTGATTCCGAGAAGGCTGAACATGTGCGGCAGGCAGCCGTTGGCAATCGGCCATCTCGAGTCGCAGTCTTGGGTGTTGCAGGTGTTTGCCAAAAGGGAAGGCATTTGGGTGGTCGACAATACAACAAATCCGTTTAAGGCACCGCGAGCTGCCGTGTGCGATGTGAGCGCGTCTTCCGTTGAGCTCGTTTCCGCCAGATGCCGTCCAGGTGCTGAAGCAGGTTGTCGCTTATCGTGATAGAAGCTTGGACAGACATTTTGGTTGTGATGCTGCGGCAAATGATATGTCAGAAAAGCGACAGATGAACTTGAGGCTTCGATCTGCGAACGCAACCTTTGCTTTTGAAAGTGTTGGCCTTGGATGGACGCAAGCACTTCGCTGTCCTGCACGGGGGTTCTGCACGAGGTCGATGTCGATAATTGCGACTGCTGCTTCGTCATGGCTCTGCTGGAGAGAGGTTTGCGGCCTCAACATATACACGTCGAGGCGGCTGTACTACAAGTTTATCACCAGCTTCTTGACTCTAGCTAGCTGTTCCCGGCAAAGGTCAAGTTGACCGCCCACCACTCGCCTAACAAACTGTTTGGCATCCATGCGCATGCTTGTTGTTTTGTTTCGGGCTGTTGGGCGGACGGAGTAGGATCACCAAGAACCGTTTTAGGCGACGCCGATTTCAGACAAGGGGACGTTTAGGGCCATGTCTGCATATGCCTGCCAGGTCAACTCCTTCGTTCCTCCGCCCATCTTTTTCCGACCGGTGGAATTCGACCACTCCATACAAGGACCGAGTGCAAGGCGCCCGTGGCAAGTTGAGGCACGTTGCGACAGGAGACTCAACGCTTGAAATTGGTCCTGAAAGTGGCTTCAGGGGCCACATGGTGCATTGTCTGACACCTACATTAGCTTCTCGTGAACTTTCAAAGCTTCGGGGCTTCACCGCAGACTTTCGCAGGTTCACTTGCTGCCTTTGCTGAGCAGCTGGAGCCTTTTGGCTACAAGCTGGTGGCTTGCCTTAAAGCTGCATCTCCTTGCCATCATGTATCTGGGAGGGCCAAAGCAGTTGAGGTGCAACTGTATTTGCATGATGCTCATTTCGCTCGACAGGTGGCTGGGCAAAAACTTGATAGACTCTGTCGATCGCCCGACTTCCGCCTTGGCCAGGATGTGGTACAAGGGGATGTCGGCGAAGCAGGAACATCCCGACAGCTTTGGTACGAGATTGAAGGCTCGGGGGCTTCGGGGCTCGGGCTCGGGTTGGGGCTCTCGTTCTGCTGGGGTGTGTGTGGAGCGTTTGCCTCTTCTGGCAGATTTGGAACTGGCATGGTGCCCGGCTCAGCTTGAGATGGGGCGCTTACATGTGTCTACAACGGATCCAGCTGCTTCAGACTCGAGGAATGCGGGCTTCTACTGCCATCCACTTCGACCTACTCAGCCCCTTGAGGTGGAATACAAGAGGAGTCTCCCTCGCATTCATTTCCTTGCAGCACTTTGCCTTCTGCCTCCTGGTGTGTTTTGCAACCAGCCTATTTCGCACAGCACAGGATGTTCCTTTACGACTACCGTCAGTGGAATGACAAGTCACTCTCCGTGGAGCTGCGTGACGAGCTTAGCTCAGAATCATCATGGGCCCAAGCTTGCGGCCTGTTCGTGTGGGACCCATGTACCCATGATGTTTATGCTGATGCTCCTGTGTGCTGATGGAAGTCAGGTCTACGTTTGCTGAGAGAGTACTTGGACCGCTGGCAGAAGCCGCGGAGCAACTACGAGCTGCGAGTGCAAAACAGGATTTTTGGGGCTGTTCTACCCTGAAACAACAAGTACTAGTTGCTTCACGAACACATTTCCATCTTGAGTCTGTGGAACGTTCTGAAAATTAGCCCAAACCCAAGTTGAATAGTTTCTCCAGCCCTGGGCAGGTTGTGGGAATTCCCGCCCGAACGGCCTCATCCCTTCGGGGCGCCTTGGGTGGCCGCTGACTTGATACAGTCTTTGACGGGAGCTCCGCAGAATCTCTGCTAGCCAGGTCTGGCGGTTTTGCTCGATGCGATCGATGGAAAACCTCCATCCTTGTCTGAGCTTGCTAGAGCTAAGGAGGCCCAGCAGCCTTTCGTTCGACGGAATACTTATTGCGTTTCTGCCCGTTCAGCTTGGAAGTTTGTCTCTGCCACTGAGCAGGCAATCTTAGCTGAATTGGGCGGAAAAGGCTGGATACCATCCTGCTTAGTTATGAGGCTTCAGGTGCAGCACCATGCAAACACCAAAGATTTTAGGAATAGGTGGCATGTGCGGCAGGAATGGCAGCCTTGGCCGATGCCGTGGCACTGTCCTGGTCCATGGTGTTGGTCTTTGGATTTTTCGCTTTGCCGACATGAGTGAGCTTAGTGTGCGAGCTTCTGGTGGGTCGCAAGGCCATGCCTGGCTTGCGTCCCGCAGTGGCCGCACTGCACTTCGAGCAGTGGTGGAACGGTCCACTCGGCAACAGCCATTTCTCAGAAAAGACTTGAGACGGCTCATCGCGCCGAGGTCAAGAAAGCCGGCAAGAGTTGGTTGCTCAAATTGCTGGCTCCGGACTACAGGTGGGAACCAATTCCTGCCAGCATGCTTGCCTGAGCTTGTCACAAGGAGCTGTCTTGGAACTTAAGTCTCAAGCTCAAAGCCACCTTTGCCAACAAGAAGCTGCGGGCCTCAGTAAACGGAGGCTGTGCTAGGGTTGCTCTCGCGATGTTATTGGTTTTGCGAGGCCCACGGAATACGCATCTCCAGCTTGGCGAGTGGAGGGCGTTCAGAAAGTCACTTGGCACCCCGGGCATGTAGGGTCTCAGATGCTGCTGAGCCAGCAGTGTTCCGTGGTGTCGAACACCAGTGCTTCGTGGCAGGTTTGTCCCATCTGGAGTCGTGAAGGAAGCAAGCAAGGTAAATCCAGTTGGCTTGTTCGGCCGGCACAGTTTGCTGCAGCATGTCATTGGTATCCTGCTGCCTGCTGATGCATGAGTGGGGTAAGCTTCACGCAGAGACGAAAAGGTTGGTGCGAGAGGATCGTTCTGATTGATGATTACATGCTGCCAGGAAGAAAGATCGGAAGAAGCCTCCAGGCACCACTCGATTTGTTAGCATGTGACGACTTGTGCTGCAGTTTTTCTTCTTGTACCTTTGCAGCCTCATTGCAGTGTTCGTCTACTTCTGGGAATCGTGAACCTGCTAGGCTTTATCGGGTCGAAGACCGCAAAGAAGGGCGCCGAGGACAGCTTGCTAAAGCCTCTTGCATGATGAGCTTGACGAGGCCATGAATCAAGATGTGATGTTGCAAGGAGAAAAGCGGTGGACGGTGCATGTACTGTGGCAGCACCCACAAGCTGCGGGCGTCGCTTGTCGTGTTTGTTGGGATGTCTACCGCAGGTCACCACCGTCAAACAGCCATATGCTCTCAAGCTGCTCATTCCAAGGAAGCACTTTTTTCCGACAGAGCTCGGCGGAACGGACAGTGCAACCGTTGCAACGGCATTGTGACCATGGTGGTTGTTTAACACCCGTAGCAAAGAGAGAGATTCCCAGAAACCGAGCTGCCAAAGCAGGACTATGTCTCCAATGTCTCGATGGTCTGCGAGCTTTGCTCAGACATGCACGAAGCACTGGGTGCGAAAAGGCCTGAGGGCAGCAAGAAAGATCAAGCCGCCCACCTGCGACTGCGCAGCAGGGTTGTGTGCAGGTGGGGTGAAGTGCTGTCTGCAGAGCCAGAAGAGGCCGCGGAGGTGCCCGGCAGCTTGACCGCTCGTGTGGCCTTTGCTTGAGCAGTATAGTTGCCGGCTGGTCGCACCAGCTCTGAGTGAAGCAAAGAAGCCCTTTGATACTTTGCAGCTGAAGGGCCTACAAAAATAACGTGCAGCGGTAATTTTTGACGAGGACCCATTAAGCAACTGCTGCCAGGTTTGGTGGGAGGCGCAAAAGAAGGCCAGCATGTCGTGCTCTCAACGAGACTTTGCTTGTCTGCAGATTGTCGTTTTCAGTGACTGATGATGGAACAGATGTGTCGTTTGGGGAACGGGCCTGCTCCTCTCGTGATGGACTTGAGGAGACTTCCCTGCGAGCTAAGGCAAGCCGTGGGTTTCTTGGGCCAGCCTGAGTAGCCGCTGAGCGTTCGTGCCGGGAAGAGCAATCGAACGCTGCAGCAAAGGACAAAGACGGTTTGATAACTATGGCAGGGACATGTCAGTTGCGTGCAGAAGACTTGGCACGGAGAACCAGCGGTTTGATACCAGATGTACGTGACACGGTCTGCTCTGCAGCTTCAGCTGCTCCTACCTAGGGATGCACTATTGGCTTGAGCTTGCTTCTGAGACCATACATGCCTCTGATGGTTCTCTGACTCTACGATGCGGTCATGAACCAGGCATGAGGTCAGAGAGGACGCAGCCTGAACAACATGTGTGTGATGTGTAGAATTCACCTAACCCACGAGAATACAGTGATCACAGCAGTACAGTAGCTATGGCGAACTTCATGGATGAGCTAGCTACAGGTTTTCGCCGCATCCTCTGTCTGCAGTCTCCGCAGCGAACTGTTACGAGGCAGAGATTTCGGTAAATTGCTGCACTCGAAAATCTAAGCTCAGGTCGCACATGGCGGGATCTGTGCAAGAAGGAGACACCCACGGTGGGGTCTGATGGCATGCTGCAGGGCATTTGGAGGTGCTGCGGATGAAGGGTGCTTGTGGACTGGTCGCCTTGTTTCTGCACAGTACTGACATCACGGTTTGTGTCGAAGCTGCCAACCAGCTTGGCAGGGAAGCGGTCGTTGCGGCGGTTGCTTGTGAAAAGGCGACAGATGGCACATCTGTATCAAAGACGGAGTAGACCGTCTGCCCCTTGTTTTGGCAATTGCAGCGCACTGCGGCCAGGCGGGCAAAGCCGGGAGATTTGCGGATGGCCCGGCGGGTCAAGTCTTGGACTACATGCTGGAGCTCGGGCCCGAGCTGCGGTTTCCCGCGCGACTCGCTGAACTCGGCACATCAGGCGGGGCTTCAACAAGTTCTATACAAACGCGGAGCAGACGGAGGAAGCAGCACATGCCGGCCGATCCGACCCGGTTTCGCCTGTGTAATTCATTACTGAACAGGCTGACGCAAGTCACCGTTCCTGGCTCGCGTATGGACACGATGGCGGAAAGCCAGCCAGAACGGACAAGCCAACTCCGAAGACATAGGCCAAATCGGTCAAACATCCGAAAGTTCAGATAACCAAGATATGACAATGCTCAGCCTTCACCTTTGGAGGATTGCTCAAAAAAAGCTCTAATTACAGTTTACAGAAACACGGGGAGACTTCCCAAACCTTTCACCAGCTCTGCGAGCCGGTTAAGGAAGGAGCAGCGAAAAAAGTCCGGTCTGCGACTCTGCGACCTCTCGGAATTTGGAGAATCGATCAGGAACCACCGACATCTCTATGAACCGTAGAGGGCGGTAGAAGCCAAAGCCGCATCAGAGAAGTCCTGAGAACAGAATAGACATGGGAGTTTCCGAAAATTAGGGGTACCTTATTTTGGGGGTCCTTATAATAAGGATCCTAGTATTCGGGGTACTATATTAGGGTCCCCTATTTTCGGAAACCCCCACATCCGTAAATGCGTAAAAGCCTCGGGGCCACATCGAGCAAGCTGTACACATTTAGACAAATCTGCGGAAGTCTCGCGATCTCAACACGTCTAGAGCAATCTAGAGGCACAACCATATCTCAGGACATCTGCGTACATGTAACAAGTTGTCTCTATATGTCAAGACTTGATCGTTCTGGCAGAAAGTTGAATGCATGTGAAGACTTCGCGACGAAATCGAAATGTGTGAAAGGGCCACAAGCAGTCTGTATGTCTCGAATCATTGCTACTGACTTTAGAGAACTCTGGAGAAATCCGCAGATCTTCAGAAATCTGAAGATGCCGGCAATCTTGGATAAGCGCCAGGAGCCATTCCAACGCTTGAGTTTCTATGTGGAATTCTAAATTTTCAGGAGTGTTAGAACAACTCTAGACAGTCTGACAAGAGATGAGAGAGATGTCTTAAGATATCTAGACCGGGAAATTATTTGGTGTTGTTCCTGCGCCGTTTGTTGATGAAATCGTGCTTCGTGTTTGGAAACTTGTCGTTGGTTTTCCAGTTTTCCTGAGTTTGCTAGCCGTGTTCTTGGATGAAGTGATCAGTTATCCGAATCTGCCCGCACCCGAAACATGTTTGTGTGAAGGGCATGCCGGTTGCGGCAAGAAGTTGCAGGATATGCTACAGCTCTGTTGGCTGATGTTGACGAAGGGAGCTTCGCTTTCATGTGGCAACATTCCTGTGTCGAAGCATTACCATTGCCAGGTCGGATTCGTCCATCTATGGCGCCATCCGGTGCAGGCTTTGCGACCGCAAAAAGCGATTGTCAGTTCTGTCTGCACCTTACCAGGCACCGGCTCCAAAATCGGATGATCGAACTGTCGCGCTAAGACATCCATCAGAAGCCTTGGGGCAGGAGCGGCCATCGACTCCTGGTCCGGGGGTGGCAAGCCGCATGACTGCCCGGGCATGTTGGGTCTGTGGTTCTGCGCAGGCAAAGGGTAGGCGAATGATTGCCAAGTTCCTCGCTCTAGTGCTGTCGTGAACATCGATTTCGGCCGTCGAAACGGCTCCTGCAAAAACACGATTGCCGATGCAAGTTCGTTCCAGGGTATTTCTGGGCTTGCGCAGCGACAGCTCCCACTCAGGCCATATGCACAAAGGTGTGTCTAGAAGTTGACATGTTTCAGATTTCAGAGATCGGCTGACAGTGTGGAGATGATCCAGAGTGTCATCTCTGCTTCGCCGGACCCTCGCATGAGCGCGCGGTGGGCCCCGCGAGCTCTCACCGCAGAGGGTCTTCCGACACGTATTGGGAGCGACGAGGTCGTTGTTGTCGAACAGGAGGCTTCGTCGGCTCTGCCGGAACAAAGGTGCACCAAGTGCAGATTGTGGGTACTTACAGGTTCCCCAACCCACAGCCCTGTCGTGACGCTCTTTTCTCAGTTCCTGCATTCCTTACGTGCTGGCCCTGTCTTGCGCTCGCTTCCAGTTGCTGTGCTCCATTTATACCAAGACTGAAAATGGCACAGGCCTCGCTTCATTCCTCATATGCTTACCTTACCTGCTTAATTGCTGACTTGCTTCGCTTGCTTTGGTCGCTTTTCTTGCTTGCTTGTTTGGCGGCTCGCTCGCAAGCTTGCTCCCCTGCTGGCTTCCTCACTCACCCACTCGCTGTTTGACTAACGAGCTGACTTGCTAGTGTAAGTTGCCTGTTTCCTTTCTTGCTTGTTTGCTTGCTTACGTATTAGTTACTCCCTTGCTTGCTCATGCACGTCCTCCCCAACTGCGCCCCTTCCAATGCAGACATACGGCCACACTTTGTCACGGCATCCAGGCGATCTATCCTGCCTCATTTCCGAAGTTTGCTCAATTATTTTGGAAGAGTATCTCACTGGAGGCACTGGTTACCGTCGGCTCCCATGTCCATAGGCTCGATTGATAAAGCACTCCTTTGCAAGGCGAAGGTTGTTCCGACACAGGTGCAATCGAAGTTTTGTTACGGCTGTGCAGGGACAGCAACCACAGATGCAATCGACACAAAGCACGGTTATTGCCTGCAGGAGTATCGCCCAGGGAAGGATGATGGCAAGGCCTCGGGTCGTTTTTTGAGTTAAGGCCTTGTGTGAGTGTGCGAGTGTTTGCGTCAGAAGCCCGGCTCCGGTGATCTTCAGATCAGGCCAACTCGGCTCAAGGACGAGTGTTGTTGTGTTTCGTTGTCATTTGCAGGTGTGGCAACTGTGGCAATGTGTACGGTGTTGCCGTGCCGCCAGGCCAGTAGCTTTTGAGGACAGTCTTCAATTTTGTACGCCTTAGCATCCGGCGATACTTGCAAGGCACTGCGCCCGGTGCCACCGTGCAAGCGAGGTGTCCGCATTGCGGCACCACCAACCAGGCTGGGATGGCTCGGCATGGCCAAGTGTGTTCCAAAACCACGGAGGCTGCATGCAAAACTGCTTAAGGCTGCGATGCCACACGCCGGAGGTTCTCCGAGCAGCCCAATGAAGTTCACAGGTGGAGGACTACTGCTCTTGTCACGGCTGCAAGACCCCGAAGTTCGTCGCGAATGTGATGGTTCTCATTGCTCTCTGTGACGCTGTGAGGAGCACCTCCTCGACCCTCAGGCCGCAGCTTCGGAAAGATCCGCACAGCCCTTTGCTTTACACGGGCAGGCCGTCAGAAAGCCTTGTTGATCGGAGTGAACTACTTTGGCTCGCGAGCTGAACTGCACCTTGGACCTTGCCTTCGGGTATAGACTGAAAGCGCTCCTGTGAGCTCCGGCCTTCGGCGAGGCGAGGTTGCATCAACGACGTCCACAATTTGTTCCGCCTCCTGACAGAGACCTACGGGTGGCAGGCGAGACGAGAGATGCTGGGTTGTGATGGCAGGAAGCTCGCTTCTCGTCAAGGCTCACAACATCAGAACACTTACCGACGACGGCCGCGGTGGGGGAATGCCCACGTCATGGACTTTGGCATCGGTCGTGTTCTGAAGCAGCCGGGCTAAACAGTCGGACATCTTCGTGCTGAGGCGCCACAACATCACTCAACACCTCCATTGGCTTGCAGAGGATGCCATGCCAGGCCGTCGACTGTGCAAGCCTCCCCTTGATTGAGATTCACACACCGCCTGAGTTTCTCGTTCTGCCTTGAGGCGACGTGCTGTTCTTCAGCTTCTCGGGCCACGGGGTTCGAAGCTCAGTCTCCGCAAGCAGGGCACGTTCTGGAAGCTCGCTGTTGCTGCATTTCAGGCCCAGAAAGAAGATCCCCAAGGCTTTGAGGAGGACAGCGGCACCCTCAGCGTCGAAGTGGAAGTCAGAATGGAGCTTGAGGATGGCATGAACGAGACGATCCTTCCCGTTGATTTCGAGCGTGTGCCTGGTCTGCACGGTAGCGGAGTGCCATGTCCAAGTTTCGGTGTCGCTTGGCCCGCGTCCCATCCCAGGCTGGAATGATGCTTCTTGGACAGACATAGTTGAGCTTTGTGTTAGTCCGCGCCTTTTCTGCCGAGTTTTGCATCCTTGTCTTCACACTTTCAGAACATTGTAGGGCACTCGTCCGGTCTCTTTCCATTGCGTCTTTTCGACTTCTTCCTGGACTGGGCCTTGCATGTTGCTGATGCCCGTACGTACTCGTTTCGTGTCAAGCGTGAATGCACACACGGGCTTGTTCAGCTACAGCCAAGTAGTTAAGGATGGGGGAAGGACGTTGGCTCGAGCCGGGAAATCGTGCAGTCCAAACTGTGAACATTCCAAAGCATTTAAGCCCGAAAAGCTACGCGGGTCTAAGACAAGCCGGCGGTGTTCGGAGTGCTGAAACCCTAAACCCCGGCAGTGGGAAACGCTCAACCGCCGCGAACAGCTTGTCAACACATTTTAATCTTCGAGCGCGAAGAGTGGAAACCCTGAAGCCCTGGAAAGAGCGGGGGAGCAGCGCGAAAACTGTGGTAGCAAGAATATGGAGAGGAAAACCAAGAGCTTGGTCAACGCAGAGGAGAGTTGCAAGCCGTAGAGGCCACACACCAAAGAGGAGGAAAGAAGGGAGTTAGCCTGAAACCAACAAGTGGTCACGGGCAGCAAGACCTAACCGTAACAGGAGCACACCGAAGAACCTAAATCGGGACTACAAACTTAAGCCTCAATATCTGAAAGCGGTGGTCCACATCGATACAGACAAGGCCTTGCCAAGTTGCTGAAGGTCAGGTGTCCACGTATGTAGTTCAGTGATGGGAAGAGCGGGTTGCAATTGGCAGCAGTACTTCATCATTTCTCCGGCATTGACAAGGACAGATGACGAGGTCAGTGACTACATCGTCAAACCCCTGCCAGAAGGAGTTAGGCCTGATTGCAGCAGGGTCGTCTTTTGGAAGAATTAGTTCTTGGATTTCGTTGATGTCGTGCAGGCTGACGAGTGTGATGGACTGCTGCCACAAACTTAACAGGAGCTGCTGTTTCTGAGTGAGCCTGTTCAGCTGAGCATCTCAGGCCACAGTGGCAGCGGCTTGGATCTTCCGTTCACCTGGGATCCAAGACGGGGCATGTGGCGTGAAGCTGTGAACCCGTCATGAGCCTAGACTGTTGTTAAGCATTGAAGTTTTATGAATTCCAGCAATCGGCTGAAAGGTTCCTTTGTAGAGGCGACGTTCTCATGTTCAGCAGCTTGGACAACTTAACAATCGATTTGTTTTGGAGCTCAGCTGGTGTCACTCGTCTCAAGGTGGTTGTGAAGATGACGACACATCTTCGGATGCAGCCTCCATGTATGCAGCACCGGGAGGTGCAATGACGAAACTTTGCAAGCAAGGAGTAGTTTGACAAAGTTTGATCGGTTGCTCGCTACCATGCATCTTCCCGGAGCTGCATCTCTATCCAGGACAGCTTTCTGTGACGTGCTTCGCAGAAACCCTCGCCCGTACTCACCTCAGACTTGCGGCTCCGGATGCTATCATGCAAAGGATTATGACACAGGGTTTCTGGCCCGAAGAGCGGATGCTGATGTAAGAATGGGATGCCGAGGATATACCCAGAGCTGTTGCAACTCCTCCATCGGCACCTCAGCATGGGTGGCCGGGGGTCTTAACAGGTGTTCTGCGTAATGACGTCATTTCTACCGATTGAAAAACGTTCGAACACGTTGACAAATTCTAAGGCTTTTCGCAGCGGCCGGTGCTGAGCTCTTCACAACAGTGGGAGTCTCAGGACGCGTGAGCGCGGGGAGGGGTGACGCCTTGCCTTCGGTGGAATGCCAGGTTCTCGCTCGATCGGCCGTTCTCTTTCGATGACATCCATCCGTGTTATGCTGAGACAATCCCACAATGACGAACAAAGCGTGCAAGGCGCTCAACAACAACCGAGTGATTTTGCTAAGGAACATGAACAGCCAACTTGGTCGCATCTTCAGACAGCGCTTCCCACCGAGGCGGGTTGCCGGTTGAGGTCGCAAGTCTCTGTATGTTCACTGCGAGAGAGGCCTCGGCCAATGAGTGGACCGCTTGCAGACATGCTTGGGCCCTTGGGCATGCTGGCAGGCCAGTCAGAGTTTTTGTTCCAAGAGCCTCCTGCAAGTCGTTACTGACAGGTGGTTTGGTTGTCGGCGCCCTCGTGGCAGCCTTGGTTCGGGAGCTTCGACGCTTCGCCGAAGAATTTCTGGAGGGTCACCAACGCTCAGGCTGGAGAAGCCCTCGAAGGTGGTGTTGGACTGCTTGGAGCTCTGTTTGGGTAGCATCCAATTTGCCATGCCGCTGCTGCGCACGGGGTGTGGCGACAATCGACCTGTACAGTGATTGCCGTCGCTGCAGCTCCGAGTTGTGCCAATATAATCGTCCGGCGGCGGAATCTGAATGGGCTAAAGGTCCATACAGACCGCTCAATATTGCTCCAAAGATCTTCGGTTATGATTGCAAAGACCATCGATTTTCGTCCCAATCGCGACCAAAAATTGGATTCTAACTTGTGACTTCGTAACTACAAATACTGGGGTTGGAACCCTAATTTTAACGCTACGCCGCCCGCCTCGGCTGCTGAGGGCCACAGGGCACGGTAGACGCCTGGATAGCGTTGGTGCATGTCTGCAGCAGAAGTCTAGAGTTCGTAGGAGGAACAAAGAAAATAAAGAAAATAGACGTCCTCAAGCTTGCGAAGATCCTACAGAGTAGTGCTTCGCGAGGTCCGTGTGTTCGTGTGTATTCAACAGCAGGTGTCAGCAATCAAGTGCGTAGACTGGGTGTAGGATCAACGGTGAGATAGCCGCTGCCGTTGTCATGGAGAGGGCAGGGGGGAGCAGGAAGGCAGGCAGAAGGGAGAGGAGGAGGGGTTGGGGGGTAGGGGGGGCCAGGGGGTGGGGAGAGGGGTAGGAGGGGGAAGGGGGGGGGGAGGGGGGCACCAAACAGCCAAAATGAGGGGGTCCAGGAGGCAAAGGCCGACAAGTCAGGTAAAATCAGGCGAAGCCAAGCTGGGGGTGGAAAATGGACGCAAAAAACGGGTGGGTCCAACCATCTCCCCTGCAGGGAGGAGGATTAGGTGGAGGGGCCTGTGGCCTCGGCGGATTATCATTGGGCTAACCTATATGAAGCAAGTTGCTCTGAGCTGCATGTTAGGTGGACATGAAGGCTCCAAATTCAGTGAGTGTTTTGCCGAGCAAGCATGCTTGAGCAATGTCGACGACGTTTGACGCAGCTTTTGTCCTCAATCTCTTGTTCGACCCGTTTTTGATGGCACGCCAAACTAGTTAAATACAGTCCACCTTCGGGTCAATGTCACCCGCGGCGGGCTGTGCGTGCACGGGCACAAGCACATCATCCACAGAGTCGGAGGCTGTTTCTAAGGGAGCATCTCTTTATGCAGGTTGGATCTTGCAGGACGGCATTGCCAAGGGGCAAACAGCGATCCTCCACCTGGAGCGGACCGACTTGGCCTCTGGCCAAGCATGGGTGGCAAAGCCAAATTACAGTCCCAAAGCAGTGATCGCAGGATGCTGCTTGCTTGACTGCCGATGGCGCATGGAGTTTCATAAACTTGGCAGAGGCTGTTTGGCGAAGGATCGAGTCACATGTAGTGCGCTTTGGAGGGATAGTTGGTTATTGCTGCATATGTTGTGCTGCGCGTGCCTTCAGCGAAGCCTTTGAGGCACTCCTCCTGCGAGCAAGGCACTTGCACGAAAGCATCATCGACAAGAAGCGGTGGCGAGGCTGCTCAAGGGCCAGAAGGCCTGGTGTTGCAATGATGTTGCATGGGACCCCGGAGGATCATCGAACGGGTCACAATAACGTCCTCAAGTGCAAAGTTGTTGCATAATTAGATCCAACCCAAGGCAATCTCGCAAATCTGATGGAATTAGGCTGGCGGTCGCTTTTTGTGTAAAGGCTTTGTTAAGAGTGCAGCTGAGTGCGCTTTCATGCGCATTCCCTGAGGTGGCCAGGATCCTCATGCCAACCACGCTGAGCGAATACCATTTGAGGCTCATCAGGTGGCAGACGGCTATGTTAAAAGAGCTGCAGGTCGAAGAGGTTTTCTACCACATCCCAACCGAGGAGTACCGCTGCTGGATTCGAGAGGTCGAGGTGGCAGCAGGGCGTAGACTACCAGAACAGCATGTTCTCCTGGAGAGCTTTGCATCCCGAGTCATGCAGCACGTCCAAGAGCATGTACCTGCTTCTTGCAAGCTGCATTTCATCGAGCCCATGAAGACGGAGAATCTTGAAAGTCCTGTTGAATCATTCCTGTGGCCATACCTGAATGTGGAAAGCTTGACCGACCGCTCCGAAGTTGCTGCCTTTGAGGACATCGGCTATGCTTTGCCACAAGTTTTCTTGCAATTGAGGGGAGAGTTCGGGGAGTTTGTAAGCGGTTTGTGGGAGGTTTGAGGGATGAGGTTGAAGATGAAAGCAAGCCCTTCCACTTGTTCCCTTTTTCGGTGTCTCGGCTCCCGAGATCTCGGAGATCCAGCTGTTGTTTGCTTGAGCGCCTGTTGGGGTGGACAGCATCCTCGACCCAGTCTTGCAATAGAGAAATCCTGTTGAACCAGGGATTCTGCGTAGCGTTTTCCAGCAGTATTTGTGCAGGATCTGCTGGAGTTGCGTCTGGGCGAGGAGGCTTTCCAAAGGACTGGCCGCAGGATCCCAACACTTTCCGTAATCCTCGATGAAGAGCACCCTTTCTATCGGAACGGTGAACAGGGATGCTGTGAGCTCTCTGTGAACATCTCTTGACGATCGTGGTGAGCGATTGGCCATGTGCTTGCTGAAAAGACTTGAAGCGCTGGAAATGCAAGTGCCAATCAATGAAATTGTTTTAGGTCTGCCGTGTGCAGTGCCCAGTGCCTTGTCTTTGTAATTTTGTAATCGCCATGTCAGCCCAGGCAATGCAAATTCGCCGCGTTATGTGCTCTTGTAGTGAGTCAATGGCCAGCTTGAGAAATTGCCATCCGCTCAGTTCGTGCTACTTACCCGCACCCCTGCGAGGATCCGAAGAGGAGCTCCACATCGAAGTTTCTATACGCTAGCCAGTAGGAGTACAGCCTAAAGAATTAGATCCTTGCATGGGTCCGCTTAGCCCGCATAGCCAGCGGCATGTTCCTTGGAACGTCTTCACGACGATGTTTGACCAATGCAAACCGCATGCTGAGCACTGGCTGGCTGTTCGGGCTCGTCCTTGCTGGCACCCTTGGCCTGATTGTATAACTAAGGCTTCAGGGCCCGGAAATCCCAAGGCTCTAAGGCTAAAGCACTACAAGGCAGTAGAAACTGAAGGTCACTCACCAGGCAAGAGAGGGAGGGAACAAGAAAGGCCGTCCACGTGCACTGTCGGCTGATCAAGATGTCGGGAAACCTAGTGGCAAGTGTAATTTGCGGTTTCTCCTGGAACACAGCAGACTTCTTTGGCAATTCCTCTTGGCCGCTTGCCTTGATCGGAAGTTGGTGGTTCAGGTTGGATCTCCAATGTGGCCAGCGGCGTTGGGGCGTCCATGAGAGCCTTTGCGATGCCCAGATCGCCATTCTTTCTGCTAGTGCTCCCCACCCTGGAGTGCGCGATGCTGATGCTTCTAATGGCAAAGATGCAAGGAGAAGAGATCTTGCTGCCGCTGAAGAGTGCTTCAACTCGGCACCATATCTTGTGCTTGACTGCTCTTGCACTCAGCAATGGCTTGTCCCTGGGTTGCATGCTAGCCTTTGGCAAGGTCTGTGCACCGTTTACGCCCCCTTTGCTCTTCGCGATGCCTCTTCAAGCCGAGGTCTTTCGGAATCTCAGACGCCTGGGTCTCGGGGGTTGCAGCGCAGATCCTAAACAATGTCACGATTCCAGCTGTGGGGCTCTCGTCGGTTTGTATTTTGGGCGAACGCTTCACGAAGCGCGAGCTCTTTGGCACCTTTGTGGTCCTCTGTGGCATCTTTATTGGTGTGATGCCGCAGATGCACAAGTCAAGTGACCATTTAGAGTCTAACCCGTTCTGGGCCATCCTGCTCTACACGTGCAGTGTTAGCGTTTTGGGTGTGCAGATGACCATTCAAGATCGCGCTTGCCGTGCTGGCATACCACCAGCAACTGTGATTTTTTGGTATAGTCTCCTGGCTGTGCCTGTATACCTTGTGTTGACGCCATGTGAGACGGTTGCATACATCAACGGAAGAACAACAGGCGAGCCATTAGATAACCTTGCGTGGAACCAGCTTCGGTCTCTTCGCTGCATGGCCGGTGCTCCAATGCCTGGTGACGTGCCTGAGTTCTGCTCGCAAGACGCTTGGCTTTGGCTGCAGGTTTGGAGTGTTGGCTACTGTGCGCTGTTCTTCTTGAATGCTGTCCAGATGTGCTACTTTAATGCTTTTTGGGTAGCCATCGTAAACACAGCTGGTGCACCGCTTTCTGCCGTCGTCTTCACCAGCAGCATAGTCGGCAAATCAAAGCAAGAAGTTGATTGGCCCTGTACAATCGCCTCGTTTTCTTTGATTCTGCTCGGGATTCTTCTTAAAGGAGTCCCTGACAGCCAGAATGAGCAGTGCCTGGCTTTAGAACTGACTCCAGGTGGCCAACATGTGCAGGCTGACTATTGACGTTGCTTCAAAGCAGGCCTTGGTGTAGAAAAGCTGTTCACTCATGGCCTTATGCATGAGCATTCTGCGGAAGCCAACTCCCATTGCTGAATATTGCTGACAGCTGTGGGCTCAGACTGAACCGTTTTTTAGGTGCAAACCCCGAGCAATGCGCAGCGTACGATGAGCCTGCGGTTTTTTAGTCCTGTGGCTGTGCTGCTGTGCGTGCTCCTCGTGACCTGCAGGCTAGGGCGTCTAGCAGGTGCCGAGCTTGATCCGTATGAGATTGAGGTGGGCCATTCTGAAGGTCGTATGGATTTCCTTCAGCTCGAGACCTCGCTTACGCATGAACTCAATAACAACACTGCAGGCTTTCCCAGGGCTCTATATGGGGATTCTCCTGATTCCTTGGAATCCAAGATGGCTGGTCTTGGCTTAAAGTTTGGCTGGCTCAGCAAGGTCCTGGTGATGTTTACGTACATTGCATTTGGCGGAAGTTCCTTGTGGCTTTTGTGTTACGGGTTGCCTTCAAAGAGTCCACGGGATGCGCAGATGATGGGTAGCACGAGGCTGTTGGTGTTCTTGGGCACGGTCCAGCTCTTTGCATATTTCACCACGGATCAATATGTCCCAAGTTTGCCCCAGATGGGGCTGGAGCTGCGTGGGACCCAGACACAGATGAGCGGATCCATACAACTGAACTTGTTCGTGAAGGCTTTGGTGGGTATGATTGTGGGCCCAATGTCGGATCACATAGGGAGGAAACCGATCCTAATCATGTGCTTGACCCTGCTGATCTTGGGATCCTTTGCCTGTGCTCTCGCTCCAGATGTGAACTGGTTCCTCGCGGCGCGGATCATCCAGTCCCTTGGGGAATCCATGGAGGGAATGCGCTTGGCCATCATCCGGGACTGTTTCAACGAGAAGGACAGGGTCTTTGCCATTGGCATGGTCACCGCACTGATGATGATCGGCCCCAGCGTCGGGCCGCTACTTGGAGGCTTCATCGCCGCTTGCAGCCACTGGAGGGTTCCGTTCTTTGCACTGGGCTTTCTTTGGTCAATCTTCACTTTGTATGCAGGCTTCTTCATCACGGAAAGCGCCCCAGAAGTGAAATCAAGGGGCACCTGGCAGACCATCCAGCACATATGTGGTGATCGTATGCTTATGACACTGCTTCTGGCAGATGTTTGCCTCATGGGCACATACCTTTCCTACGAGAGTAACTTTAGTTATCTTGCAGAAGCCGGGTACGGCAAGAGCACCGCCCAGACATCCCTGCTGCTGTCGGTTACGCCTATTGCCGTCACGATGGGCACGACCCTATTAGACATGCTTAACTTTAAGTCTGTTTTACAAACTGTGAAGTTTTCCGTGACCTTCTTTACACTCGCTGTTACGCCCGCCTTTGCAATTACGGGGCTATACTTCTCGGAGAGCTTTTGGGCCTACTGGTGCAGCGCTCTGGTGATGGCAGGAAGCGTTGCGTGCGTGATTCCCCTTACCGCACTCTACATGGAGCCAGTGGAGGACATGGCAGGAACGGCCGGCGCCCTGGAAATACTCTTCAGCAATGGGCTGGGAACTGTGTTCTCGACTGCCTCGACAGAATTCTTCGTGAAGGGCGGCCAGCGTGGGCTGTCAATATTTCATGCTGGATGCTCTTTGCTGGCAGGAGTCGTTTTCTGGCTGGGTTATGCAACTTGGCCGCCTTGCAAAGAAGCAGATGGGGGAGACAAGTTGAGCTAAGCAGGACGTAAAAAGTCTTACCTGCCGGGTTGTTGGTTCAGTTTCACTGCCTAATCCCAAACAGACCTCAAACCTGGAACCCCCAACCCTTCAACCCCAAACGCCAATTCCCAAACTAACAACAAACCCCTTATCATTGTCAACGCGAATCCCAAAGTCTGAGCAAGAGCATGTGAATGGATGGGAAGCATGTGTTGCTGTGGATCGGCACTGGGACTTGAGATGCGTAGGTGGGTGGCGTAAGCTAGGTCAAAATCTCCGCGATTTGGGGTCTGGTGTTGAAGGTTCTTCTGAGATTAATAGGTTCTTCTTATTGCTTTCATCAAGAGAGAGACTTTAATCAGGGACTTCGCAATATCGTCCGCCTCCTGATCCGAATCCCTTGGCCTCCGAACAAGAATACAACTTATTCCAATCTCATCTCACTAAGAAATGAATTCTATCAAAACAAAATTAACGGGACTTTCGTGGTCAAAAATCACAGGGATAAGGCCCCAATAGTCGAATCATCCGTACTTCTACTAATCTCGGTCCGTATGGAGCCGGAATCAGGCGAAAGATAGACGAAATCTCGTTTGATCAAATATAGGGTCGCTAGAAAAAAATAATATCATATAGGGAATACAAGCTACCACTAGGAATTCAAATTAATATACCAAAATATTCGAAATATATTAATTCAAAACTACGATATGATATAGATTTTGGATTCCAGATTTGCGTAAATATTTAAATGAATAAATCTAATTTCGAGATATTTCGAAGATAGAAAAATAATTTTATTAGAAATCTATAGAAAAATTAATTTCAAACTATGTGATATATATATATATATTTGCTATCTCTCCTGATGTGCCTACCTTTGGTGTGTGTTTGATGTGCTTGTTTGTTGATTTCATATATTCATGCATGTAGTATGCTTAAGAATTAACAGTTACTAACTGGTAATGTCTCGTGAATACTTTCCCACGCCCCGATGATTGCGATTACTGTTGGTGTCTCGTTGAATAGTGCATACCGAATAGTGCATGAACTATAAGAGGTACTTGGAGCACAAAACTTTGGGATATATATGTTTTTCCAAATATCCCACAAAGGTAATACGACAACTCATGAAACCTCGGAAAAGATTGGAAAACAAATTGTTAGTAACATTTCGTTGAAAGAGTCGGAAAACGAATAGTAAGGATAATACTAATGCTAATGCTGATACGAATTTGCTAGTACTCGCAATAAGCAATAGTAATATTTGTACGAAAAACAAAGATATAATGAAACTAGTTTTTCGAAGAATACTAATCATTATAGAA